TAAAACTTTTAATCATCTGAGGTACCGTAGTAGAGGGTAATGTTGTATCATACGAGCATTCATTTTTTACATGTGAACTTAGAGTCCCAAATATTAAAAATGAGAAGTTTAGATTATAATTGTGCAAAAATATTATGGTACTTTAATTAATTAATTGACAACAATTACTATTGGATTACAATTGTCAAAAATTTGAAATAAATCTTCTTTAATACAATTTAAAGTTCAGAATCTAAACGCTATTCTAAAAGCAATGTTTGTTAGCAATCATTTCAAATAAAAAAAAAAAAAAGAAGAAGAAGAGATACTTAGGAGGAATACCAGGATCACAGGTGTGGATCGACTTTTGTCAGGTGGACAAAAACTATTTGATTTTCTGACATGGTGTTTATAAAAAATATTGTGAGAGGATATACCTCGACTAATAGGATTAATTCTCTTTCTCAGATTCTCTCTCCACCTTCTCAGCTTCTTTCTCTCTTTCCTCCTGCGCCGCCAGCCTATTTGACTTCCACACTGATGTCGTCTTCACTCCCATCGGCGTTGTGCTGCTCCGTCATTGTAGCACCACACTCCACACCGGCGAGTTTGAGATTTCAGCGCACTAGGTCGATCTCCTCACCTTAAAACAGCAAAGAGCATCTTGTGGATATTTGATCTCCGTGGAGATCTCTCTTGCGAGCTGTCCACGCCGCCTTGCTCTGGTGTAAGCTTGGCTTTATCGCGACCTCCGGCAGAGGACCGCCCTCGCGCCACAGTGCTTGGGTCCAGCTCGTCACCGGTTCGCGTCTCCTCTTCCGCGCGAGGGAGTCCAAGACCTTCGTGTGGCAAAGAGCAAATTACAGAGTTCTTCGACCTTTCACTGTTGTAGAGATTTGCACCACCTCCATGCAGTTCTGAGCCGTGACTCAAGTAGTGCGCACATGCGAGTGCAGGAGGTCATTGCCTCTGCAGTAGAGATCCACACCAATAGAATGGTCTCCCGATCTACTACCTCTGCACCTGCACAAACTAGTATTGCCGCCACTTCTTTAATGTCGACAATCAAAGATTTACATATTTTGTTGTTGCTCTGATTCATTATAATATGCGACTTACTAACGAAGATGCTCTGATTGAGGGAGTTGTTTTTGTAATTTTCATATAGAATTGATTGTGTCGTTGGGCGTTGCCGATAACAGTATTTTTTGGTGGTTACCGGCTGGTATCGCGGTGGTTACGAACTCGTAATCAGTATTAAAATGGGTACCTTCGGTATAACGGTTGGTACCGGTCAGTAACGAATTGTTGTTTGGCTCGTTATTGATCGATAACTGACGGCAGTGGATACCGGCTAGTGTCACTACAGTTACTGATAGGTGTCACAGCGGTTACTAATTGGTAACGAAGTGGATATTAATTATTAGGGTAAATTGCACATATGTTCTTTAAATTCTTTAGTAAATGACAATTTAATTTTTATTTTTTTTTGACAAAACAAACTTTAAATTCTTTAAAAAGTGACCATTTAATTCTTTTTGTCAAATTTTATTAAATTTTTAACAGAATATGTTCTTCTTCTTTTCTTTCTTTCCCAAATTTCACCATCTTCCCTCTTTCTCCGATCAACCAATGGGTCCTCAAGATGAACCAATCCTTCAAGCTTTTCAGGAAAAGTGGTGGAGATGAACCTGGAAATGATGGAAAAGGGACTACGTCGGAAAGTGCAATCACCAGAGCTGTATAGTACTGGGTTGGCAACTGCATCCAAAAACATAACATATATATTAATGTTTCTTAACATATGTGTGTGTATATATATATATATATGTATATATGCTGATATATAAATAATACAGAAATTTGAAGAGATTTCTGACAGAAAAATGCACATGGTGGTCTGACCAGAGCCACCCAATAAATCTCTGGTCATTTTCTGGACCACGAAAAATGCAATACTCACCGTTGCTGGTTCAAGAAGACAACCCACAAGATTAAACACATCTTTGCAATCAACATATATAACCCAGAAAAGAAAGTGAACAAAAAAGGTAACATATTGTTAGAAACTTATTTAGATTTATTCGGAAAAAAAACAAGAAGAAAATAAAAGTGACCAAAAGAAAGGAAAAAAAAAAACGAAAGAAAGAAAAATACGAACCCATCAACCCAAGTGAGGAGAAAAGTAAGGGAGACACCACGGCTTGACTTTGTACGGAAGTTGGTTATGATATGTGGGATCTCCGCCGCACCCTAATATACTATTAGGTCTCGTTCACTTTACGAATTTGAGTTTATTTTATAAATTTAAGTTTTTAATTTAAATTGAGATGTGATATTTTTTAAAAATTTTTTATTGTAATAAAAAAAGTTAAATTTAATATTTTCTGATAATTTTTTAAATTTAAAACTAAAAACTTAAATTAGTAAAATGAACGAGACACTCATGAGCCCAAAAGCAAAGGGACTACGTCGGAAATAATGGGAAGGACTTTTTTTTTTTTTTTTATTGTTTGTTCGAGTGCTTTGAAAGAAGGATTTGATTAGATGCAATTTTTTTTTTCAGAAATAGTAAAAAATAGGTCAATATGAAAAGTTTAAAGAAGTATATAGGTCAATTTTTAGTTATAGAAATTAATAGGTCATAACTTGTCAAGTTATGATTCATAACCAAATAAGTTATGGACAAACTTATCAAGTTATGGTTCATAACCAGACATGTTATGGACAATAATTTGTCAAGTTATGGTTTATAACCATACAAGTTATGGACGAAAACAGTCTATTTATTAACTTATGTAAATTATTAGCCTATTAATTTTAATTTATCTCAAATCTTAACCTATTTCCCTCTTTCTCTATTTTTTTTTGTTTTTATGGGACTTATTAATTTGGGCTATAGATTTTTAACCTAAGGGTCTTTACGGCTATGTTTGAAATCTGTTTTAAAATAATTTTATTTTCTATATAAAAACAGAAATAAAAACGTATTTAATTTTAAATAGAAATTATTTATAAAAATATGTTTGATTATTTTATTTTATCTAAAAAAAGTTAAAATTGTGTTTAATTTTATATTTTTTAAAATATGTAATAGTACTTTAAATAATGTTAAATAATTAATATAATCCTCAATCAATTGCTTAATAATTAAACGTCCCAAGCATGTCTCCTACGAATAAGTTTTTTAGTACATTACAAATATATAGTAAATAAATAAAATTTTTAAAAAAGTTTTCTCTGTGATAAATGTAAAACTGTCAAGAGCCAATTTTTAGAAATAGGATTTTATAGAAAGGCTTTATCTTGAACTAGCCATTTCCCCGAAGCATCAGCAAACTGAAAAAAAGAATCACAGGACACAAACAGAAATGCCAGTCAAGAAAATAAAAAATGAAATTGGGAAGAAGAAAACGAATTCTGTTCGTTTTTAGAAATGAGTACTTTTTGGGAGAGAATAGAAAACGTTTTCTTTTTTGTTTTTGTTATGATGGGGTGCCAAACAGAGTCTTTACTAGGCTTGTTTGCTTTCGTTTTTGTTTATATTTTTCATGATTTTCGAAAATGAAAAATGAAAACGCATAGAGAAAACATGTTTGGTGTAAAATTTTTTAAAAATTAAAAACAAAAACGTTTTTGTCATTTTCTAAAAATCTGTAATCGATTTATTCTTGTTTTCATTTTCTCCTCCTTTTTCCTTTTCTCTCTTCAGCCAGACCAGAGGCCCCTGTTTTCATTTTTTTCTGCCCTTGACCAGTGTGAACCTGTGCCATTTGCTTCTCCGTTTTCCTCTCGCCTGACCTGTGCCATTTGCTTCTCGGCCGAGCTCCTCCGCCGTTTGCCCCCTCCCCCCAAACCACTAAACACAATTTCAGTTTTTTTAAAACTGAAAATAATATCATAATAAACTACCAAACGTATTTTCAGAAATGATTCTAAAATGAAAATGAAAACGTTTTCGTTTTCATTTTTATATAGAAAATAAAATTATTTTGGAACGAATTCTAAATACACCCATTGTATTTTCATTTTTGAGTCCTAAAAAAAAAAACGATTCCTAAATGAGTTTCAAACAGGCCTACAATTTCAACCCCTACCAGATAATTACCTTCACTAATGATGTGGCCCTGTATTAATAGATAATTCCAGCCTCCTCCAAGCTCTTCTTCATTTTCGATTCAACTCGTTATTCTCCAAAAACCCAACACCGAAATTCCCTTCACTAAATCATAGTAGTGCCATAAATTTCCGACGTAGTCTCTTTTCCATCATTTCCAGGTTCATCTCCACCACTTTTCCTGAAAAGCTTGAAGGAGTGGTTGATCCTGAGGACCCATTGATTGATCCTGAGAAAGAGGGAAGATGATGAAATTTAAGGAAAAAAGAAGAAGAAGATGGAGATTGAGAATAAGGCTTTTTTAATGGGACATTTAAGTCATTTTACTGAAAAAAAGTCACGTGATGAGTCACGTGACATATTCTGTTTAAAATTTAATAAAATTTAACGAAAATGATCAAACTGTCACCTTTTAAAGAATTTGAGGATCGTTTCGTAAAAAAATGATTAAAGATCAAATTATCATTTATTAAAGAGTTTGAGAATCATCCGTACAATTTATTCTAATTATTACCTTATATTGTATTCTAAATACAGTGTAATAATACAGTTGTAGTTATTTTTACAAATATTTTTTTAGGCATAAGTCAATCCAAGTATAAATTTTGTGGCGGTAAAAAAAAAAATGCTAGCACACATTGACAAATTAGTGCAAAGAACCCAAATATTTTCAGAATTATCAGGGACCCGTTTAAAAAATGTATTTAAACAATTATTTAAGTTTTAATTTGAATTTTTTATGAGAGAATTATCGACGGATGGAACGGATTTGGGTTTGAATAATATACTAAAGTCAAATGACACCGGGAACACCTTAGGGCTTTGACTACAACGTAGCATCGAATAAGAATCTGACACGTGACGGAGACAGCTCACCCGCGTGTAGTGTACCTGGATAGCAAATCCGATCATCAACCGAGAGAGAGAGAGAGAGAGAGACAGCTTCGCCTTGTTTGGATCGTCCTCCTCCTCCAGTTCCATAACCCAAACCCATACCCTTTTCCTCTGCTATCATTCTCTCTCTCTCTCTCTTCATCTTCTTCATTTTTCGGCCTTTAATGCCCTAATTTTCCTCCACTTTCTCTTACTTTCTTCCTCTATTTCGTGATTTTCCTTTTCTTCTTTTTCTCCCCCCCCAAAAAAATGGGAAAAAATCAAGCCTACAAAGCTATGCAGCGAGCCAAGCTTGGCTCCAGCTCCGCCGGACCTGACGAGGTCGAGGATGGCATGGTTTGTACCCTTCCATACTTCTCTCTCTCTATTCCATTTTTTCAATTCGCTTCTCGTTATCCCCTTTTAATTTCTTTGATATTTCTTGGTCCATGATTTGTTAAATTTTGTGATTTCTATCGAGTATTTGATTATTCATGTTTGGTTTGTTCGTCTGTGTTCCTTAATTCCTGAGTCGCGAACTGGAATCAGAACCCTAGGAAAAAAAAAGGTTGCTTGGCCATCAAATGTGCTTAATTATGTGGTAGAGGAAACTTCCACAGCTTTTGATATGGATAATTTATGAATCATACAACATAAACTTTTATTTATTTATTTATTTATTTCCTTTTAGGGATCTCAAGCAAGATTTTTGCGTATATAAATTATTGTTATTAAACATCTAGTACTATTGTTGAACTGGAAGTCTGGAATGAGAAGAAACAATGCTCAATTTTCCTTCTCCAACTCAATGATTAGCAAAATATTTGAAAGATTGTATATAATTTTTGCTGGAATATTTTAAAAAAGTAGTTGCTTGGCCATCAAATGTCAGTTATAATGATGTGGTAGAGAGAACTTCTGGTTGAATTATGGATTTGTTGTTTCCCTGGACATTACTGATGAGGAGAGTCGCAGGTGGATGGTTCATTTCATTCACCAGAGTGGCATGCTGCCCGTTTGGCCAGCCTAAAGACGTCTCATACGATTACCTGGGAAGAGTTCAAGAAAAAGCAAAAGGTACTATATTCTGCTTCTAAATATCTTTTCATCCATTTTGCTGTGTTATACATGACTGCGAGCTTTCATTGCAACATTGCATTTTAAAGACGCTCGAACATGTTTTGTGGGGGTAGATGGATATTTATCTTGGCACTTAATCAGTCGACGTTTTATGTTGAGAATAATCCATAAGGATCTTTCATTTTGCTTTAGCCAAAACTGAATCTGAACTTGGGTGAAATAATCGTTCCTGTTGAAGCTGCTTGCTATTGGTTTTCTGTTGAAAATGGGATTATAATACAAAGAAATGGTTCTTGAAGTGTATAGTGGCAACTTGCATCTTTGCCTTTGGATTCGATATGTAGACATGAAATTCTTTCGTGGCTCATTGCTTACGAGATTTGGTTTCATTTGGAGGGGGGTATAGACTACAGTGAGCGTCATTTTTGGTAGTTAGAGATGAATATTTATGCCATTATTGTTAGTTTTGTTTCACAGTTTTGGAGTTTTTGTCAATGGAAAACCTTTGAAAATAGTTTTGGTGAAGTACTTGGTGTAATGGTATCTCATCATGTTTGGTTTTGCCTAAGGTTAGGAAGCCTTTCATTGCTTACAAGATTTGGTTTTAGTTGGTGGATATAGTGGAGTCATGGTTGGCAGTTAAAGATGAATATCTATGACGTTCCTCTTAGGTTTATTTCACAATTTGGGAGTTTTTGTCAAAGTTAGACCTTTGAAAATACTTTTGATAAAATACTTAGTATAATAGAACCTAACTTCTGATAATTTACTTTGAATGGTAATTGTGATGTCTCTAAATTTTGTCCTAGTAATTCATTGGCGAGCATTTCGTTGCCGTAAGAAACTGGGTACTTTGTTTCAAATTTCCTATACTCCCTCCCACTATTTATTTCTCTGTTAATATTTTTTGCTTGTTGCATGTTGTACTTGATATTGTAGGAAGATGAAATGCGAAAGGGAGAATTGGAGAAAGATACAGATAGAATGATGAGAGAGTACAGAGCTCAACTGGATGCTGAAAGGGCACGCAAGCTTGCCCAAGGAAGAAACCACTCTGGTAGCAAGTCTGATCGCAAAAGAGGTATGTCTAAGACTTGTAGATGTGGAAAGAAAAGTCCCTCTGTTCTATGTTCTTTATTTCGGAGGCTTTTATTTTAATTTCCTCTTCTTGTTACGATGAGACGTTTTCTTGCAGATAGAAAGGAGAAAGACTTGAAGAAACGCAGCAGCAAAAAGAGGAAGGTGCTTACAATTTCTTTTATTGTTTACCAATGCTCTTTTCTGGACGTTCTAGATTTACAGACTGCTTAATGACCTCTCATCCCCCGCTGAAAACTGAAACACAGTAATTTAACTGTTTCCTTGTTGAAACTAATGAAGAGAGGGGAAACAGACATTTCTGATTCTAGGTTTCTAGCCTGCATCTATGGAAACTAAATGCCATCAGTATGTCAACGTGGCAGATCTTTTGATTCGTAGGAACTCATCTTTAGAAAATCATGGTTTCAATCTTCTTGGTCTTTCTTTAGAAGCAAGCAAATTGAAGCTTCAATTCAACCTAGTTCTGGAGCAGATTCTGTGGCTGTGAATTCCTCTGGACTTGTATAGATTCTATCTAATTAGATGAAATACAATCCTCTTAAATTAGAATTGAAACTTCCAAATTGTTTTTGCGGAGCTTCAAACACGAGTTATGGTTGAATATTTCAATATGTCCAGTCCTCCAGTTTACTTTACTATGAGCATAATCTTGTTTATTTGGCGCAGTCTGCTTTGTTTATCAACGGAAATCTGTAATCGGAATACGTAATCTAATGTCTCTCTTCTCGATTACTGCTGTAGCATTCAAGGAGGAGATGGTCCGAATCAAGTTCGTCAAGTTCATCCTCAGACTCTTCTAGTAGTGATGAAGAGAAGAAGGAATCAAGAAGATCGAAGTCTAGGTCTAAGAGATCCAAGAAGGAAAAGAAGCACAGATCAAGGACCAAGCACTCTGGCAGTGACAACGAGGCTGACGGTCCTGTTCCCCTTTCAAGATTCTTCGAGAGTGTGAAGAGCTAATAGGGGTGTAGCCACTCTGTAATAAATTATCTATTCCTACAATAGGGCATCATGAGGCTTTTTCTTTAATGATTTCCTTTTGGGTTTATAGATTCAATTGTTTCTTAGGATTATATTCCTCATTGATAATATCTTTTCTTTGGCTTGACCAGTTATAGTATCTATCTAGTTGCTTTAATATGAGCAAGGTCTGTGCTTCTTTCTTTGGTAGAAAGACTGGTACAAATTCATCTAAACTGTAATGAGCTCCATAATATCATTTGATGTAACCATCGCAAGTGTAATGAGCTACATAATTTCCTAATAACTTTTGGTGGGCAAAGTAATTCAGTTATTAATATTTGCTTGTCAAGCTCCAGGGTTTGGATATTCCTTCAAGATTCAGTTCTTCTGCTACATTTTCATAGTACAAAGTGGAAATCACATTTTATTGACATGTAAGAGGATCTGTAACGGAATTATATAATTGATGTGTTAATGACAAGTTTAGTATTTGAATGCAAAAACCATTTTTCAATATAGTACCATTAGTTGTGTCGATTTGCCATATACTATATTTGGTGGTAAATTTGCATTAAATATAACATACGATAAATTTGACATTTGAGTGTTATTAATTGATATATAACTTTTTATTTAATTATTGTGACATTTTCATTTTCAAGTTATTTTAAAATTTAAAGTTTGTTTTTATAACTTTCATGACATATTTACTTATTAGGATTGAGAAATGAGAGTGAAAAATGAGAATCAATATCATGTTTACTTGCTCTTTTTTATTTGGAATGAGAGTGAGATTCGTGGGCTCCACTCAAATTTAGAATTAAGGAATGGAATTGACACTCTCATGCCTTCCTTGAGATTGAGACTCTCATTCTTGATATTAACATTAAATTACTCTCATACTCATATTTTACTTATAAATATAAAATTCAAAATAAAATTCAAAAAATAATAATTACAACATGTATTTATTTTTTTATTTGCGTAATATTATAATATCATCCTAATTGTTATATACTTTAATAAAATAAATATGTAATTTATTTGTTTAATAATTTAATAATTTATTTTAATTTTTTAACACTATGTTTTATTTATATTTATTTTATTTATATTTTTTAACAATTGATTTTTATATTTTAAATAATTATACAATTTATATTTATTATTTTAATACCGTATTATTACATTAAATATTTAAATATAATAAGTACAATAATTTATTTTTTAAATTAAAAATATAAAATTGACTTAAAGTGTATATTAGTACTTCTACACTATTTTATTCTGATTCTGAATGTAGTAAACGCATGAATGAGATTTAAAGTAATTCTGATTCCGAATCTTGTCACTAAGTAAACAACTTATTCTGACTCTAATTCCTCACTCTAAATCCTACCCATTTTGAATCCTGCCCATTTTGATTCATATCTATTCTGATAATGCAAATTGTAAACATGCAATCAAAGCTCAATGATTATGATAAAAAGTAAATTTAGCATTTGAAATAGTATTATATAGTGAGTACAAATAAAAATAACATGCAAAATATGCCATTACTTTTTAGAGCCAATTATACAATTAGCATTAACATTTAAATTGAAAATTGTCTTTGGCCATCCTATGAGCGTGGAAAATAGACGTAGATTGCCCGAAGAGCAGGGTTATTTATCCCCCACGCGTGCATCAACTAAAAAGAACGGCCACATAACAAAAAGTAGATTCCAGTGATCGTACCATTAATGGTAATAAATAACATTTTTCTTCTTCAATTGATGCCTGAATTATATATGTTGATTATATATATATATATATATATATATATAATATATAGAGGAAGGTTTCATCAAAAGTCTGCTAAATTGAATAAGAAACAACAATAAGAAGCAAAATAACCGATACAAACACAATTACCACTGTTATCACTTATCAGTCATTGAATTTTACCACAATTAGATGATTCGGATACCACCCAGTTTGAGGATGGAGCATATGTACACGAAGAAATAGATCACCAAACACATTGAAAACACATTGAAAAGGAACAACACACTAATCAAAGTGATTATGAAATAATATCTCGAATCTAATCCTCATTATTGCTGATACTCGGGATTAAATGCAAGAGCCTCACGGTAGATCAGCTCCTTCATCTGTTCCTCAGTAAGTGCATGCTGCTCAAAGTCGAAGATGAAGGGAGATAGGCTCACCGGCTCATCGCTGATGTCGTGCAGAGATGTTAAGTAGGGATGAGCTAGGGCATCTTCAACTGTGACAGGTGGGAAAAATATTAGGGAACAAAAAACTCACCAATAACATTAGAAGCTAAGGAAACTGATGTTAGCGCCATTACTATTAGAGAACACATATTTGATATTTACCAGTAATTCTCTGTCTTGGATCAAAAGTTAACATCTTTTCAACAAGGTCAATTGCTAAAGGATGAACATGAGGGAACTTTTCGGTAAAGGACTGCCGGCGGTAAAGTTGAAGTTGCCTAATGTATCTCTTAGCATTCTCGTTCAGAAACCCCAACTCAGCCTCTGATGGGGTGCCGATGAGCTGCAAGGTGCATTACCGATTAATCTGAGTCGTATGGGTATCTATGAACAAGCACATGGATATCTATAACCATAATAAGTTTTAGAAGCACGGTGCTCATAAACACTAAAGATCACGCCCCTTTATACATTAGTTGAACCGTTTTATTATTCAAAAAAAAAAAAAAAAAACCTTGGATCTAAAACAGTTACAACATAAACAAAGGCTAATTTGGAGTGTTGTCAAACTGCATAATCAAATTTAAGAGTCATTAAGAAATGCCAAATGCGCCAAGGAAAATTGAAAAAACAGCATTTTGCATCATTAATCTTCAAAGATGCATAAAACTTGTGGGAAAAAATGTGGGTCTTTGCAGGGGAAACAAAAGGAAGGAAAATCGAATGATTTTCAGCCCATAAGAAATGAGGTAATTTTAAACGAGGAAATTTTATTTTTACCTCCATAAGCAAACGCAATTGATGCACATGATCTCTGCCAGGAAATAGTGGCTTCCGATCCATCAATTCCATGAAAATACAACCTACAGACCATACATCGATTGCTGCAGTGTAATCTGAAGAGTTTAACAAAAGTTCTGGGGCACGATACCATCTTGTAACGACATACTCCGTCATAAAATCAGTTTCTGAGGTGACACGAGCTAGCCCAAAGTCACAAATTTTCAAGTCACAATTGGCATTTAGGAGAAGGTTGCTGGGTTTCAAGTCCCTGTGCAGGACATTTGCAGAATGTATGTACTTCAATCCACGGAGTATCTGATAAAGAAAATACTGCAAAAGAGGGAGAAAATGCGGTATGTAATGATTCAAGGATGATAGGTGTAATTAGAGTAAGCATGACCAGAATATGACGTTCCAGAAAGAAAGCAGGATATAGAATAACCCAGAAACAAAGCATAATTTCTTTAAGTAGGACAGGCAAAGTGTTGGAAAAAGAAAAAAAGTGGAAATCAAGCTCGTATGAAAAAAGTCAGCAGTAATTTATTGAATTATAAAAATAAACATGATACTTAAGTTTACATTATCAAGAAAGGATCTTTACACCCTGAACTGTTAGACTAACATGGTACAAGTCCAGAGACATGTCTGGTTGCTCTGATGCCTGTCTTCTTTAGTTATTTATCCTGCTTATAGCTTCATGTCCATGAAAACGTGACTTAAACTTCCTAGCATTCTTCCCCAAGAATGTTTTCAAGCCTAAGATTTCCATCACAGACCATTCTAGTGTTACTGACAAGTAAAGATAATGGTCTCACAAAAAATTAATAGGGTCTAGTGGTTGTAGGCTTAACGTAGCTGTAAATCATACTCACCTCCAATATCGAGGTTGAGTTTAAATCCTGCCACCCCAAAGTCAAAATAATAACAAAGATTTTGGTCTAATCACATTCTATTAAAGTCAATTCCAGAGTTACCATGTACTCCCTAAGGCTAAATCAGCAAGTGTTGCAGACGAACTTACTGCTTATACTGTCTCATTTCAGTATCGTATGAAGAAGTTTATTCCTTCTGTTATCTTATTAATGAAATATTCCTTTACTAAAAAGGAAATCAACAATAAAATTCATGAAGTTAAAATCATGTACATAATTAGCAAATTTAAGCAATAATAGCAGGCCTAGTTATAAAGGCATAAAAACATTATCAATAAAACCTGACAGTGCTCCTCTGACAAAGCTTGATTGGAGCGAATAATTTGATGGAGGTCGGTGTCCATTAGCTCATATGCAATGTAGACATCGTTGAATGTCTCCCTCTGAGGTGGTGGGATTATATCTCTAATTGCAACAACCTACAAGAAGATGCAAATAAGTAAGAGAAAGCAAGTTCACTAATTTACTACTTTACAACTGAGAAGGTCCTAAAGGAGTAAAAGGCGTCCTCAATTCCTCGCAAATAGGTATTTCCATAATTAGTACAAATAATAAAGTTCACTACTTTACCACGAAAAGAGTCCTAATATTATTGTAAATGTACTTTCTTGGATGATTTATATGCTTTATAATCGTGTTACTATCCAAAAAGATTTTCTTAAATTCGAACCATTTCTATCTACATGGACATTTTCTTGCTTTTCTACAACTGAGAAGGTGCTAAAGGACACTAGAAGCGAATTCTACTAGATATAAAGTAACAATTTCTCTCTCTCTCTCTCTCTCTCTCTCTCTCTCTTTTCTGGACTTTGAAAATCTCAGAAAAAGAAACATTTTTTTCTTTCCAATGGCGTTGTAATGTAAGAAACGGTGGTAGAATTTTCTCGAGAAACAAACAGGAAAAAAAAATAAAGAAAAAGGGGAGAGAAAAGGGAAAGGAGTCGGACATTCTCGTGGTCCATGTGGCGAAGAAGCTTGATCTCGCGGAGAGTCCTCTTGGCGTCGATCTTGTTGTCGAAGGCATTCGCGATCTTCTTAATCGCGACGTGCTCGTTCGTCTCCGAATTCAAGGCCGAGCTACACAAACATTAACCAATTCTCGAATCAGATTCAAAGACAAAAGAACTCTTTTCAGAAAAAGAAAAGAAAAGAAAGAAAGAGTTGAACAAATCTACGAACCAGACGATGCCGTAAGCGCCTTTGCCGATGGGCATGATGGGAGGCTTGTACTTGGCGGTGACCTCGAATATGTTGCCGAAGATGTTGTACTGTATGAATCTCCCGCCGTGGCTCAGCGTCGCCGGGATGTTCTCCATCCCAATATGCTGCTGCGGCGGCGGCGGATTCTGATGTTCTCCTTGTGGCGGTGCCGCCTCCGACATGACGGTGTCCGACGGCTGAGCTGCTCCTGCTCCCTCCATTTTTGGTTGCTTAAGTTTGGTAGTTCCCACGAACTAAGGAAAGGAAAGAAATTGGGGCTCTTTGTTTTCTTTCTTTTGTTGGCTTCTTCCCACTTCTACTTGTTCTTTCCTAGTAGTTTTGTTTATTTATTTATTTATTTGCTTTATTACCAATTGTCTATTCAGCGATTGGTTTACAAGAAATAAAAAAAAAGAAAAAGAAAAAGAAAAAAAATTGTTTTTCTTGATTCAAATTCAATCACCAACCACAAGTGTAGCATCCTTTTAAAACTGTTTTATAATCAGCGTTAGATTTACTTGTTTTATGTAATTTATTTCATTATTAATGATGATAAGTAACAATATTGAAAACTATCATATGTAAACAAAAAGAAAAAGAGAATTACTTATCTATGGTGATTTTAACAACAACAACGACAACAACAATTCCAAGGCATTTACAAAAGTAAAAGTCAAAAAAAAAAAAAAAAAAAAAAAAAAAAAAAAAAAAAAAAACCCCCCATTTTTTTTTTTTTTTCAAAAAAAAAAAAAAAAAAAAAAAGAAAAAGATCAGAGAAGCCACCATGTTTTTTGTAGTTTCTTTTAGATTATGTATTATAATATATTAATACGTTTCATCATAGTTTTTCTTTTGTAGATTCATGTTAGTCGTTACCGGTTAGTTACTATATAAGTATAATTATACTTTTATCAGCTTATATTAAAGTCTTGTGCCAGGTCAAAGGAAAAATACGACAAATTTTTAGCGAATTATTACCAATAGATTAAGCATTTTATAAAATAACTTAAACTTATAAGACAAAAGGCAAAAAATTAACATTTGTTAAAACATTCCAACCTTTTTTCCCCAATTTTATCGATTTATGTCGGATGGTGGAAGATTCTTGATTTGTTCAGTGTTTTGCATTCAATATTTGCTATTTTATGTAAGAATTACTCTTTCATTATTTTATTCTTTTAGTTTTTTTTTTTTTTTTTTTTTCCGGAAATTCTTTTGTGTTTATTTATCATTAGTTTTTTTTAAGGCCTTTGTTTATCATTAGTTATTGCGGAGAAAGAACCAACTTCCTAAAAAAAACGACATGTCCTATAAACAACTGACATCACCTGCGGTTTGTGATCAAGTCATTTTAAATGATAAATGAAATGTTCCATTCTAATGGATTCGGGTCCATAACCATGGGTTCCAATATACGAGATCTTGTAGCACTTACCAATGAGGCCCTATCGATTAGTATTACACAGAAGAAATCAATTATAGACACTAATATAATTAGATCCGCTTTTCATAGACAAACTTGGGATTTGCGATCCCAGGTAAGATCCGTTCAGGATCATGGGATCTTTTTCTATCAGATAGGAAGGGCTGTTGCACAAAATGTACTTCTAAGTAATTGCTCCATAGATCCTATATCTATCTATATAAAGAAGAGATCATGTAACGAAGGGGACTCTTATTTGTACAAATGGTACTTCGAACTTGGAACGAGCATGAAGAAATTAACGATACTTCTTTATCTTTTGAGTTGTTCTGCCTGATCCGTTCATTTCACCGATTCAAGTTTTGTTATAATGAAAAGCTCTCAGAAACAATCACATTTTAACTTTTTTACTACAATAAAAAACTCTCATATAAAAGCATATCTCAACTCGAATTAAAAACTCGAATCAGCGAACTAAATAGACCCCATATGTTCTCATTTAAAAATATGAAATTTTTTTTAAAGAAATTTTATTACCAAAAAGAATGAAATACATACTCGATATAAATACGCCAAATACAAATAAAATTCGACCCCTATGATTGGTTCCACCAATAAAACCATTGATAGCACAAGGACGAATACTAATGCCGATGCGCAAAGGAGCACAAGGACGAATACTAATGCCGATGCGCAAAGGAAAAAAGCGTGATCAGGACAAAAATCGAGCATGATTGGCACACGAGAATAACCGACATTTTTTTTTAATGTGGTCTCAGCTGATTATCCTTTGCCATGCCCATCACCTATTGCTAATGGATTTGTAATAATTACATTGAATGTAACAAAAGATGTGAAAAATTAGTGTTTTTTTTTCTTTTTTTTTTTTGTGTGTGCGCTTGAAATGTGAAAAAAGTAGTTGCCCAAAAAACTTTCCCTTCATGTAAAACCCAACCCCCTTATGGCGCTTACTCTTTATGTGTCAGCTCTTTCGGTTGAATGTAGGGAAGCTTGGAATGTCGTGTAAAAGCTTTCAAGTTCAGTGAATGACTCAAAACTTGAAAAAGAAATAAGTTGTGCTCATTTTCTTGGATTATTATTTATTTGTTTCGTTATTCCTTTGATTGTAGAAAGTTCAATAATCAATAGTAAGCAACACGTAGGTAAGAAGGAAAGAGAAGGGGAGTGACAGAGAAAATGAATGAAAGCGAGGAATTTGTTTTTCCTCTAGGAAAGAAAATAGATGAGTAGGTGAATGACTATTTCATGGATTTATTAGTCTTATTTTCCTAGAAAATGAGGACGAATAATAGGTGATTCTCTCCATTCAAATAGTAACTAATTGGAAATTTTTCGAAAGAAAAACCTCTCTACTTGTGGATGGATTACAATGGTGGGACTCATGTCCTCCTTTTTTTCTTTGTTTCCTCCTCTCTCTTCTCTTTCTTCTTTTTTCTTTTCTACCAAACAACCTACAATTCCATTTTCTCCTAAAAAATCCTCACTTTTCACCTCTATTAAACATAGATAAATAGATTTAACAGCAATTCTTGACCACCTTGAAAGTATAAATGGTTTATGATTGTAATTATGTCACTATAAAGGAAGAGTTTTCCCCAAATCAAATAAAGAAAGACATTCTCCATCACCTACCAAACAATAAATTTTCAAGTCAATATAGTCATGGGATCTTATTTCCTAGTCAAACAAATATATATATCTAGGCATGATGTGAGAGGCCGGAGTTTCGACTGCTTACCATCCTCAACAGCCTACCATTTAAAAGCAGGTAGGACATATGAAGGATAAGCATTGTATTTGGAAGCTAGAGTCTGCACAGAAGAAGGACTGGCGACATCTCCGAATCTACCAAGCCCTAATTCAGCTGCATGGATTCCACCTGTGATAAAAACTGATTGGATTCCAGCTGCATTTGCACCTCTGATATCATGGTGGAGAGAATCACCGACAGCAATCGAATCAGAAGGATCCACACCAGTCATGGCCATAGCTGATTCGTAGATTATCTGTATCAAAAGGTGTAAAAGATAGAAAAGAAAGGGGGAAAAGAAGAAGAAGAAGAAGTGGAACTAGATTATGAAAATATGCACATAACAGGCATCAAACTACTCATCACATGACATAGACATTAAGAATTTAAAATATATATTATGTCTATTAGGATTAGCTAGGCTATGTTTATTACAACTCAAGTTGAGAACTTGAGTTGTGTATGTGAGAGAACAACATTGTAGCAAAAAAGTTGAATTTGAATTTTTGTAAGAGAAAACACTGTAGCAATAGAACTTGAGTTACGAGTTTGTCTACTTATTAATAGGCAGTGATAGCACTTTCAATGCAAACTTGTTTGCTAGAATTCTCTCTCTACACTTCCTTTGCTATCTAATTTCTATTGGTTTTGTTTATCTATTTGCTCTCTTGGTTCTATATCACACTAAAGAATAAAGGGAAACAAAGTTTCCATTTAAGGTGCAACTGCCAAGAGATCAAGTACTAAGCTACAAGTACATAGATGGTGGGGATTAATAATAACGATAGTACGGATTATAAAAACAATGTCAATGCATCACCTTGTCAGGTTTGCCCATCCATTTTACTTCACCTGAAAGCTCTTCATATTTAGCTGCCAGAGACCCTAATAATAGAATAGAATTGTTCATGTCAGGAAAATATACAGAACATATATACAAACAAAACATAGAAAACAGAAAATAGAAAATTTTTGTAAAAAAGAAAGGCATGTACTCTCCCAAAATGATGTTCTTGAAATTCGAAAGAGCAGCCAAATATCTTTACCGGGCATCACTCGTAGTGCTCTAGCTTCAACAGTCACGAAATCTGGATTGGCCACCACCATAGGGATTTTTTTAGCAGCACAACGTTCCAGTATATTCTCAAGCTCCTCAAGTTTCATGGGGCACACAGCACCAGAAGGTTGCCCCAGGGCTTCAGTGCCATGGGCCAAGATGAATTCAGCATCTTCAACATTTTCCACAACTTGTAGGCCTAATCCCTACAATAGATTTTGAAATGTCAGATCATTCCATTAAAAATACCGAGCATCCCAACTGAATGCCATATCTCCATACTTATATGTTATTACAAATTTTTCTTTTCCCAGTTCATGTTATTGCCTCAAACACTAGAAAGAAAAAGCACACCTCAAGAGATATAGCTCCCCGGTCACTCCAAGTCATATGAATGCAAGATCTTCCAAGTGCTGTGAACCAAGCATCATCTCTCCTATAAAAAAAATCAACATTAAATATGTGCTAAACATACAAATTAATTGATAACTGCACTCCTATGAATTAGATTTTCATTTCTTTTGATACAAGGAAAAAAGAAAAGAAGTAGCACCTTTGCAACTTCTGATGTGTTAATTCTCCACTGGTAATGGCTCCTACAAAGAGAGAGGTATCAAAACCAAGGCTTTTCATTTTGTCCATGGTTATCGACGAGCGTCTTGATGAATTGCTTATAATCACCATCTTTGCACCACTTTTTGCTAGCTTCTCCACTATTACACAACAACCACAAGAATCACACGAACATATTTATAGAAAAAAAAGCTATTTATCATCATCAGTAAGTGATGCTATCATCGCATGAATGTGGAACTCAATAATTTTACTTTTTATGTCCCATGAATTTCTTATTCTAGTATACAGCGGCGGTAAAAACTTCAATAGAACTATGAATTACAAAATTGAAAAAAAAAAAAAAAAAAAAAAAAAAAACTAACCAAAAAGAAACCCAAATGGCAAAAGGTAGAGATGAGAACATACATGTGGAAATGGCACCAGGATAAGGTTGCTTCCCATCATGAAGCACTCCAAACTGATCCAAAAACCATGCCTGCACATTACATTTACACCCAACTTCTTCATCCGATTTTCTCTTTTTTGGGTAATTTATACATACATATACTGATATGCAGTATAAACAAATGAAACTTTAGAGCCAATATGCAAACAATTGACAAATAAAGACAATTAGAAAACGAACCCAGTAGAAAAAAGAAGTTGCTCTTTTTTTTTGCCCAATTCATCGAAGATAATAGAAAAGTAGTTACCTTAAAAAGGCGAGTCTCAGCGAGTTGTTGGAGGCCATTTAATTTCTGAAAGAGCTGAGCCTCGTTTGGCAGAACTGAACATCTGGGCATCATCTTCCGCTTCTCTCTCTCTCTCTCTCTCTCTCTCTCTGTTCCTTTGAAGATGAGAAAAATTTACCTTCCTTTGATTCTCAGTTTGTTTGGAAGTCCAAACTCCCCGACTCCCAGGGCCTTTTTCCGTCTGAAATGGGAGCCAAACTCAACTTTCCATATATATATATATATATATATTTTTTTTTTTTTCACCTCATCTTCTCAATTTTTTCAACTCTTAGCACTTTAGTCCTTATTTTGCAAATTTAACCTCATTTATTTCATTAATTTAGTTCAGTTCAATTCAATTTGAACAGTAAGTACAGTTTAAATTGATATTTAGTAAACATGCAGTGTGAATTATATTTTCTATTTGAACTGAATTAAACGGTCGAACTTAAAATTTAACTCTCCCTCAAGTTTAATCGTTCAAACTATTTTTAAACACTAAGGCCCCGTTCACTTCGCTGATTCGAATTTAGAATTCGAGTTTTTCTACAGTAAAAAGCTCTAATAAACAATCACATTTAACTTTTTTACTACAGTAAAAAGTTCTCACATAAAGTCACATCTCAACTCAAATTCTAAATTCGAATTAGCGAAGTGAACGGGGCCTAAAAATGTACTCACTCTATTTGATTTCACACCTACTAAACACAAATTTAAATTTTATTCTCTGTTTAAATTAAAATTTTAACTATACATTCAAATGTCAATTTAAACTATAATTTAAATCAAATAATTTAAAATTTTTTATTCAAATCAAAAAATTTAAATTAATAAAATTTAAATTAACAAATTAAACAGGGCTTAAACACTCGGGCAATGGTAAAAGGGACGTCCCCAAATCCCATTTTCCTGGCACTTGGCTTTTCCATTTGAAAATTTTGACAACTGTGTCCATAAACTTTCATTTCGTTGGCAGTTGTTAGTGTGTGGTCTTTTTCTGTTAAATCCCATTATTGTTTAATGGGATATTTACATTTTTATAATATGTGTTTTGAGTTTATTCAAAAATTATATTTTTAATTTTTAATTTTATTAAATATATATTTTTAAATTAGATTTAATACTTAAATTTATATATTTTCACAATTAACTCTCAATTTCAAGTATAAAATACTTAAAGTACCCTTAAATACAAAAGAATAAAGAAAAAAAAACTAAAAAGAAACTTTAAACTTACGGTTTTAACTTTAAAAAATTTAAAATACTATTGAAATGAGTTTTTTTTGTTGTGTTTTTAATATTTATTTTTGTAGTGTTGGAAAGGTTTAGTTTTACTTTCTCTCTTTTTTCTTAAGGATAATTTGGTCATTTTAAAAGTTAAAATCAATTATTGACTGAGATAAATGATAAATTTATATATTAAATTAAATTTAAATGTATATTTTTAATGAGATTAAAAACTAAATGTATAGATTTTAAATAAGCTTAAAACATAAGGTATAAAAATGTAAATATCTCTTGTTTGATCTTTGAAGGCTTTCACGGGCCTTATGTTTTAAATACTTATTTTTTGGCATAAAGATCCTTAAAGCTTTTGGTTTTTGACTTATTATTATTATTATTTTGGGTAAATTATGATGATAACTTAATTATGAACAGGTATATACACGATCTACATACAGGAGGAAGGAAAAAAACAAAAGCATCAATTTGTCTAAATTTAGATTAATCGAATTAGGATCCTACACATAGAGAACATCTTGAAACACCAACAAGATCCTCCTACTAAATAACTATAAATATAATGAGTCATTTGTTTCATATATTCAAACTTAAATTATTAATTCTGTTATTGTGTAAAACTTTCATATAAAATTTAAATTTTAAATATTAAAATAAAAAATCATGAGTTCGAATATACCTCTTAAACGGATCATAAGATATCAAATGTTGGTATGTCAAGGGGGACAATTTCTCCAGAAAATCAAGTTTGACTAATTATTCCAAAAGGCAAGAAGGGATCTAATTGTGTTGAAGGCTTCACCAAACTAATTAAAACTTTTTCATTGTAGTGCATATTGTATGCATGAGTGAGGTTGATGAAAGGCGCGTTGTAAATATTAAACAAAGTATTTATATTGTAACTCTGATCTGTCCTCTAAATTCTTGTACCAACATATACTATATTATTTCAACAAAAAAAAAAAAAAAAAAAAGCGCATTCTAAACCATCTAACTTTTATTCAACTCAATTACTAATGAAAGCAAAAACTTAAAAGGCAGTTTTTGCATTAGCAATTTATTATGATCAAATTGGAAATCACAAGTTTGTGTAGACGAAGTCCTTTTACCTGCCCATTTTAATTTCTAGTTTTAGTGGCTCATTGCTGAATGATACTTTCTCCGCCACAAAAGAATACACATTTCGTTCCTCTCCATTCAAACAAAATTAATCTTTGTGATTCTGAAGAAAAGACACGAGCAAATTACAAGTGGATGGTAAAATAGTGGGACAACTATTCAGAAGGCGAAGGTGGCGGTGGTTTTTCAGAGGGCGGTTTGATAACGGCCTTTCCTTTCTCCCTCAGCTTGGCTATTTCTTCCTTCATGGCTTCCTTCCTCTTTTTGCTAGCCAATACTTTTGCCTGAACGCCGCTCAAATTCAGGTCCTTCTTCTCTTCCGGTGGGGGTGGAGGAGGCCTTCTCCCGGCGGCTCTCGCGCTCCCGTCACCACCGTTCAAGCTAAGGACTGCACCAGCCAACCCGAGGCTCAAAGTCCTAAACTCCATTCCATAACATAAAAATGACAGGAGGATCACTAAACAAAACATGTATATGTACTTGTCCTTTACACTAGGCAAACTCACATACATTGGGTTTTAATTGAAACAGGCAAAATATACACGCACCGGTCTGTAAAGGAAATATGAAAGTGATGAAAAATAATAATAATTAGTATGAATAAAAGAAAATATAATAGAAAAAAAATATGAAAGTGATGAAAAATAGTAATGATAGAGAGAAAATTGATTTTCTTTTATGTTGTTTGGTACGAGAAGATGAAAAGAAAATGAGCTTACATTCACTTGTTTAGTATTGGAAATTAAATTAGGAGAAAAGAGAAAATCTTACTCGTAAATTACTTTTATACCTATGAATAATATTTGTGAAAAGAATGTCAAGAGGTAAAATTGTACTTCATGATAAAACAACATGAATAGTTACCATTTTATCCAAGTAGTATTTAACCATATATTTTTTAGTTCCCAAAAAAGTAATAAAAATAATTTAGCATCACCATTTGTCATTAACATTCAACCTATCATGCATTAAGTATAAAATTTCAAATACAACGAGATAGGGCTTTCATACAACTGCTATACATTAGCAAATACAAACCACCCGCTTGCTTAATTTTTCAAAATTGCCGCTTAAATTTTTTGCTTGGATGTTGATAGAGAAAATAGTAGTTTAATAACTTTGCTCACTTTAATTAGTTGTCTCCATTTTCCATTCCATTTTCCGCCCACCTGTGAAAAGAAGAAATATAGTGGGACCCACTCCTTAATTTTTCTACCTAAATTTCCTTTCCATCCAAACATCTCAATTTATCAATTTCCATCCTAAAATCCCTCAAATATTTTCCTTCCTTCTAGTTTTCAATCATACCAAACAGACTGTAAAAATGGGGCAAAATTTAGGCATTGCACAAGGGAAATAGTTTGGTTCCAGTTAAGAAACGTAACAACTAACCTGCGGTTAATGATATTATTATGATTGTCATCCGGGGCAACATTTTGAGCTTGGTGGGAAGCCCGGACTCTGAGAAAAGTTGGAGAAGGGAAATTGGTGTTGTTCCTCTTGGATGTGGTTGAGAAGGGTGTTGTTGCACTGGCTGCCGCCGGGGTTAGTGAATGTGCCATGACTCTCTCTCTCCCTCCCTAGTTAAGAGTAAGAGTTTATGGGATTCTTGTTTGAATTGCAACGAGCCATTTTTTTTTTTTTTTGAGAATTGAGGAGCTAAATCTAAATCTATATCTGTTTTGTGGATAGTGTTGAAAAGTTGAGAGCCGGATGTACATGAAAACGTTAGCCTATTGGCTGACAACGGATAAGATTGCATAGTAGTGGACCCTTTTTCATGCTGCTTTCTTTTATGTATTGTGGATTGGATATCATTTGGTCAATAAAATCAAATCCCCCACTCTATTCCTCTAAGATGTACAAAATCAGAGTCGTCGTGCCGCATTAAGAATTTCATTGAACGAATCTCCACAGAAATTGGTAATCATAAAACTCAAGCTCTTTGTAAAAATGACTGAATAGAATAGTTTTATTAATAAAATAATTCTCCAAAAAATTTTATTTGTATTATAGAACAATTAGAAACGACCAATTATATATATATATATATATAACATGATCATTCTTCGAAATTTAAAAAGCCATTTTCCACTGAATAGTCACTCTATCAAATTTCTCCACAAAACCCTTTTAATGAATGCCTTTAATTATCACAGTTGACCAGATATATTTTCATCAATTCGACAGGAACATTAAGCATTACAGCCCGTCTAAATGCCTTTAATTATCACAGTTGACCAGATATATTTCATCAATTCGACAGGAACATTAAGCATTACAGCCCGTTCGAATCGGTAAAATGAACGAAACATACATATAACATTTTAACAACTTTTCAAATGCCAAGAACATGATATATACATATATATATATATATATATATATACACACATAAATATAATCCACCTGTGGTAGCTACACACATTTGAGAGTAATTTACTAGAGAAGAACCCATTAGATAACAGTGGTGTTTTTAAACTAGTTTATAAGCATTGCATATGTCGACCAACAGTTTTCGTTTGCCAGTCAACGACCCAGTCTTACGAAACAATTTCCAGCTGAAAAGCATAGACATTTAGCAAAAGATATAAATGCTAAAAAATGCACACACAAATATATATGCACCAATTAAGACAAAACTGACGTGCATGCAAGTCTTTAACAATTAACGAAATGAAATTTTGGATGAGGACACAACTACACTTTAGATTTATAGTATGGAAACAAAATAAACATAAGTAACAAGAAGTCAAACTTAATTCGCATTTCTTGCTTAATATTTCAAAATGACAAAAATTACTCAAACCTCTGACAAAAAGAAAAAAAACTTGATAATTAACTGTAAATAATGCAGCATCTGTCCTAAAGGAAAAGCAGAAACAAAATCACCGGCGAACTCCACCATACAAACTTCACTCGTCGTCCTCATCATCATCTACGTCGGCAGCTGAGTTGAAGGCATTCAATCGCTCTATCAACTTTGCCTTCCTTTCCTCGTAGGTGAGTTTCTTCAAGTTGTACCTGTTTTACAATAATAATAATAATAATAATAATAATAATAATAATAATAATCGTCAGTTGGCTCAACAACATTGACAAAATGACACAATTGCCTCGAGACTAAATCAGAATCAGAAAGAAACATGGATATACAGAAATTGTCAACGAGAACACTGTAATATGCTCAAGTCCTCAAAAGCAAGAAATTCAACTTATCTAAACATGTATGAATAGATAAATGATCCGAAACTGAACAAGAACAAAGTTAGTAGACACCTCTTGTGTTCCTTGGGAGGCTGTTTCTCAGATTTCCTTCCTGTGGGGTCAGCACGAATTGCTGCGTGGACCTTCTTGTACAGCTCTTCCAAGTTATCAGCATCAATGCCCCTCTTGAGGTATTCACTGAAGTGGGCCAGGAATTTCTCTGGCTCATCCTCGGCCAAAGTCTAAAAAAAACAAACAAGGAACTCAAGTGAAATGACATTGACAACAATTACATGCATATGAAATAAACTTAAACCAAATTCTCAAACCATACCCTCATGTATGCAGCAACATGTCCACCATAGATGTACTTGCGGTGAACCTCAGCATCAAGCTGCTTGCTGTCCTTTGAAAATCCAGCAAACCTCTTCTCACTGTGAGGGATATCCAAGCCACCATCCAAAGCCCCCTACAATTCACAAAATTAATGAGATCTACTAACATGACATGAAGACTTGATAAACTATATCAAATTAGGCTTCTCAGAAATTAAAGTATCGGCAAGACCAGACAAAAGAAAAAATTACTGCCAAAAAAAAAATAAAACTACCTTGAGAGCACCAAAAACACGATTGCCAGTGGTAGTCTGGATAAGACCAACATCAAGGAGAGCACGGAATGGCCTCCTGTTTTCAGTTGGCTCTACAGAGAAATCCTCACCAGTAGCCTGGCAACATTAGCACCTTCTTAAACATATGGCAACTAAATACATAAATAAGTGGCTGAGACGGCACATTAAGGCAACGCACAGACATACAAACTCAAAGATACCTCAACATTGCCCTCATATTCGCCATCCATTTCAAGCTGCTTCAGGACGCGGCGAGCCACGAGAAGTCCAGTGCAGTAGGCTAAAACACATTAAGTAGCCGATGCAAGGACATTCAAAAACAGGGAATAGGCAAGGGCATTCAAAAACAGGGAAATAGAGTAAAAATAAACAAGAGAAACTACAATAAATTGGGTTGATGGAAATACCTGCGGCATAGTTTGTAAGACCTACTTCAAGCCCATATTGGGGGAGCTCATAGGAGTAAGCTGCAGCGAGAACAATATCACCGGCAATGGAAGCAGAAACGATTTGGGCAATAATGTTCTTATTGGTCTAATAAATGAGTAAAGGATAGAAACATAAACAGTAACATGGAATACATGTATTTTAAAGGGAAACCCAAATCGTTTCTTGACATGCTTAGGAAACCCAAAAAACACAGCTACAAAGACAGAAACGTCTCTATATCTTATGAATCCCACAAACGGATCAGCATGAGAATCCCACAAAACAGCTGCAGTAACTTATGTTCAGATAACAAATCATAAACACATCTTTCTTTTGAAGCGACATTAACCACATAAATAGTAGGCTTCTTAATAGATCTTTTAACACATGAAAAATATTTAAACGAAGGATACAAATCGTACAACAAACCGGTATTTCGGCGTATTGTACTTATTTTTGTCCTGATTGATCAGGCGGATCCTGGCCCTGTAGTCCGTCTTTCCCTCTGCAAATATTTCAGACGACCAAAAGCTGTGAGATAGAGCATTAATTAAATCGAAAAACGAAACACGGTGAAGTCATGAAACTGAAATAATAATAATTACCTCTCCTTCTCTTGAACTTGACCTGATACCTCTTGAAGTAAGCTTTAGTTTTTTGTGCTTTCACGAAGGCCTAAATCAGTTAACAAAGATTGTCAGCGGCTAATAAAGTTCGATGAAGGTCTAAAACTACGGTTTAGTCATTATGTTAAAAAATCACTAATCATTTCAATTTAAATATCCAAATCTCGTCAAAAACGCAAGTAAATCCTAAAAAAGTGCCAAAATAACTTCCCCTTTCAATTCCCTTATTCTATCACCAATTAAATAAAAACAACAACACAGACTAAATAAATGTACCACAAACACAAAAATTTCCAGGTAATCGAATAAAGAAAATTATCAAAATACTATCATTTTTTGGCGTCACTTGATGTATCAAAATTTCCTGTATCCATTTCCTCATCCTCTGAACAATTAAACAGCAACTAGATCAAACATAAGCAGATAAACCACAAACATACAATCCTTCTCAGGTTCTAAATCGGAGAAAGAAAACAAAAAAAAAAAAAAACCAGAATTTTCTCGGTGACCAAGCAAAAACTCTTAAAATTAAAAAAAAAAAAAAATCAAACACAAACTCTTCCATGAAAATGCAACACATTTTTCACAAATCCAAACGGAGGAAAAGAAGATCGAAGCGGAAGAACAAGAAGGGAAATGTGCATTCGCAGTTGAGGAGAAGACTTACCATTGCTGAAGCGGAAAAAGGATCAGAAGCGAAGAGAGAGAGAGAGAGAGAGAGAGAGAGACAGAGGAAGCGGCTATATGAAAAGGAGATACTGGAGTTATATAGCAGAGGCAGAACAAATAAACCCTAACTCTCAGAGTGTCACCGAGATCGACGGCTACGATTCACTTGCTTCATGGCGCTAGGGTTTGTACCCTCAGATGTCGCGAAGATACACGTGGGCCTTATGGTGGACTATGTCTCTACTAAAGCCCTTTCCGTGTCTTCCGCAGCAATTGGGCTTTTCTGCTTGCAAGGTTGAGCTTTAGGCAGAGGTTTATCTTTTTATTTTTTTATTTTTATTTTTATTATTTTAATTGCCATCATTTTGAATTTTTTTTTAAAAATTATAATAGTTTATTTTTATTTTTATTTTTCATAATTAATAACGTTAAAAGTATATTTTATTGCCTTGGAGAATCAATGAATATTAAGGGTCTGTTTAGTTCGCTGATTTGAATTTTTAATTCGAGTTAAGAAGTGATTTTATATGAGAGTTTTTTACTGTAGTAAAACTCGAATTCTAAACTCGAATCGGTGAAATGAACGGGACCTATGTCTAGTTACTCGAGTTGTCATGGCTTGAGAAGCTATGGGCTTGTTCTTTTAGTTCAAAACTCAAAAAAAATTTAAACTCGAGTTATAATTTTATTCAAGTTCACGTTTTTTTTGTAAAATTTGAGTTTGAAATTGATTTTAAACTCGAGTTTTAACTTGAATTTGTGGCTAAAATCGGAGTTCAAATTCCTCCTTCAACTCAACTTCTTAAACTCAAACTCAAGTTAATGAACTGTATTTTTTTTATTATTAAAAACACCAACTTTTTCATTTCAATTTCGATTGAGATAATTTTTTTGTGTGTTCACAACGAAGAAACAAATAAAACCCCATCCATATACACTATTAAAATTTTCCATCACCATTGAGTTTTTATTAAAATACTATTTAAATACAAATTCAAGTTTTGATCCACCCAAACACAAACTCAAATAGATTCTTAATTCAAACAATAACTCAAACGTGCACATTGAAACACAAACTCAAATTACAACTTCAATTCAAATTATAATTCAAATTCAACTCAAGATCTACACTCAAATCACCATAACTTAAAAATGCAACCGAACAAACTCTATAAAATTGCACGCTTATGATTCATTATGCTTGCATTATTAAGGAAAGGTGTAAGTTTTTGGTTCCCAGAAACACAAGAGTAACGAAATTAACGAAAATTTCTATCAAACAGCTCAATCCGTCTTGCACGAAGGATATAGAAAATTTCTTAAGAAATGATATTCCAATACCACCATTGATTATGAATGAACAAGTTTACAATTTCAAAGAATACAGAATAATAATTCCAATAATGATAACAAAACTACATAATAACACAACACGAAAATCTTTTTCTTTCCTCAGTCTAGTTCTCTTTTTAAACTGCTGAAAGGCTAGCCCATTTTCCAAGTTCATAAGGATCAGCATAGTAATACAACTTAATTCTGTTGACCAAAGACAATGCAACGGCTATTGGAGAACCAAAACTGGAATCGTCCTGCTCTGTTGGGTCATCTGCGAACGCCGTGATATCTCCAAGAAGTTTAAATGTAATTCTGCGGCTTTGTATTTGACTAGGGAAATCAAAGTACAGAGCTGTTCCGGGCTTTGCCTCCGGCAACCGATATTCCGCAATGGTTACCGCGCCGTGAGGTTCCTGTTAAGTTGGAGCAATGTTTTAGAGATGGTTTTAGTTAAAAGTAAAAATTCACGCTCATAATGTCATACGATGAAAAATACTATTATCACTATTTACGATGTGATCACCATTACATGTAGCCTTGTATTAAAACTACGATGTGACAGTCTGTGCTTATCATGAGACTTGACAAAGAGATGAAACCAATTGGGGTAACGAGTTAGGCTACAATGAACAACGATACCCCTAGGAAAATTTAGAAATAAAGCAGTTAGTTTAGCACCTGAAGAGCAGATACTTGGATATACAGAACAGCTGGAGAGATGTGTCTGTCTTCTAATAATGTTGCCGACATATCCCAGATATGTGCTTTTGAAGATGGCGAATGGGTTAGCCGAGGCTTTATTGCACTAAAAGCATCTAGACGGAATCCGGCAAGCTTAGGTGAAACAGGAGATAGATATTGTTCCAAGACGAGGTCATTGTTCATCGGCCGTTCAGCTTCAAGTGGAACCTGGAAATTCGAATAAGATCAAGAATGAGGATGCAAAACGGAAAAAGAGAGAAACAAAAAACAGAAGTGATCATGAATAGTTAATAGGTTTACCTTAAATCTATTTAACTGTGGAGCTCTCTCCAACCAGCTTTTCACATTCGGCTGGTCAGTAGTTTGTGGCGATGCAAGTGCCATATCTTTTTTCACCGGGCTCCCCACCACTAGTATCCTTTTGGCGTGAAGACAGGTTTCACTGGCGATTGATCCTCCAAAGGAGGCACGTCTGTTTACTTGTGCAAATGGGTTTTCATCGAGAGACAAAAGGTTCAAGTTATCCAAGTTAAAAGAACTTGAACCGGATCGTGGAAGACGTAACGTTATCCAAATGATGCGGCATCTAACTGGGTTCCTAAATGCAAACTTCACATGCCTTGGTACTTTATCATCACCATTGGATATTTCTTGCCCATAATATTCTTGCGAAGACCTGATGAGGGAATTCACATCCCATTTTCCCATGCATGACCTTTCCTCCTTGTCTATTTTATTGCTGGCCCAGATTTGCACCTGTACAACCAAAGATGGAGAGGAATCAAAGGCAGGATAAATAAAACCAAATATATAGCATAAATGACAGTTGAAGACAGAGAGTAGAGCAATAGTGAAGAAATTTTCTTTGTTTTCTGAAGCTCAATTTCTTTACAAAAAAGAGTAAGCCGACAACTAACAAATTGATGTTGCAGTTTTACACTTGCTAGTTGTAGATGATAGGCTCTCTACACAAAACGCAGTTGATAAACCTCTACCTAAATGGCTAAATCCATTAAACAAGAGGGAAAAAAGTGAGCAAAGAAGTCGACATACGATAGGTGCATCGGTCTCAGAGTAGCCACAAGGACTAACAACCAAAATAACTCCACTGACATCAGAAAGGGTACCAAGAACAAGAATAAATTCGGCAGAAGTGGTAGTGGGAGGAGCTTTCCAAAATGAATTCCGTGATCCAGAATTAAGTGGAGCAAGCAGTGACAAAAGTGGTGCTGAATCTGTTGCAGTTTCGACCTACAATAACATCATATATGGATTAACATTACAAAGAATGAAACCATCACCAAATCCAGCTGCATGAAATTCAATTATTTATCACAACCTTTTTAACACATTGTACCACAAAATATTCCTTAGCCTTGCATTAACCTCATAATGACATTCAGACCTCCATAACCTCATAATGACAAAGGTTACAGTGGAAAAGGATCCTTTTTATTATTATTATTTTTTTTATTGTGTGCTAATGGTAGCAAAATTTTATTCCCCCATTTTGACAATGAATAAAGTTTTTAGAGGGCAGAACAAAGGAAATTAAAAAAAAAAAATACTTTTGTAAGTGACAGAGTGAGGGTGGAGTAAATGAGACAAAATAGAATATACTGATGGAGAAGTATATTTCTTGCCCTGTTTCTGTAAGATAATAGCAAAAACAGGGACAAATCAACTATGTTCTTATGGTGTGGCGACGAAAATGCAAGATTACGCAAGAAATTTGCTACTCCAATCACTTGCACATGATATGTGGAAGTTCTGAAACTAGACCAGTACACAAGAGGGGATAATATACCGAGTGCAGAAAGCTGGCAAATGGAAATTCAGCAATGGATTCCTCTCCATTAAGTAACTTTCTTAAGGCTTTAACTGATCTCTGACCAACCAATTGTTTATTCCTTTCAGAATCATCATCCCAAAGTGAAGATCCCATCACCTGATCCAACGCTTTACGTGCTGCAATATCCAGACGAGCACTACTATGCAAGCTAATCAACACTCTAACATAGTCCAAGATCAGGGCATCTAATACAATTTCGTGGCAGCAACGTTTACAAATAACACCATCTAGCACTACAGAACGATTGGTGGATACGTCAATTTGGCTGCCATGACTTGATCCACCTTGGTTTGACATCCCATTGTAGTTCATGGCATCCCTTGATTTAAAGCTTGAAAGTAGAAGTGCCCCTCTCCCTGCACAACAGGTTTTACATGCTTTTCTTTCACATTGGGAACAAAACAAGGCAGGTTTCGAAACTCCCGGAGATGAAGTGTTGGAAGACGTGCGCCTTGCTGCATCAGTTTCAGCACGAACCTCACACACCCCACCAGAGCAGCTCTCCCCAATTCTACATATATTCCAGAAATCTATTACATCATCATCCGTTGTCTCAAGCCCAATAGAAGCTATAATTTTGTCTTCAAATGAAGCCTGTCCAAGCACTGCAAGGGAATTCGCAACTTTGCACAATCTTCCCATGTAATGTTGATCGAGTAAGAGATTTGGATTGATACTCGCGGGGTCGATTCCAACAGATAATAAAGCTCTATCCCTTTCGGCAGCAGAAAGATTCAACTGGAGGCGTTCAATTTCAAGTTTCATTGCATCTACGAAGTCTAGTTTTCTTCCCTGCAAAATTCCAATCCATTAGTTTTCAAGGTTTACATCGGTTGGATTTGCACAAGTATGCAAAAAAGTTAGTTCCAGATGTTATGAAAATTTAGATGCTATCTAGTCTTTATTAGTTCCTATTTCCTAAAACAATAATTTAATAATGAGGAAAAATTCATAATTTAAGCTTTTCGGGGAAAAATGCGCTGTGATTTCACAGTAAAATACTATAACAACGCTCTAATATCATGGTCATTAAGCAATATGTATGATGCATAAGATGGTATTATACCATTTGTGGCCCCGCAAGAGATTTCAGACAATTTATGTACTGCTGGGAACTGCAACCCGAACTCCTACAATCCCCTGAAGATGACAGATTTTTATCATTTTCAGCACCGCCATGATACTCAACAACAGCTTGATCCAAGAAATCAAGCAAGTCACTTCCCTGTCCCACAATGTTTTCTGTCACTGGTTGAGCAATGTGATCTGGCAAACTCTCTCCTCCAGTCAAGAGGTCAGGCCAATTGTTTCCAGAAGAACTTGACTGCACCGATGCTGATGCATTTTCATGGAATGAAGAGCCATTAAAGGGGTTGGTATCTGAACCAGACAAAAAGGGATTTGTCTCCTCTTTAACGCTTTTGGTAAGGTCAATTAATGTTGCACCGGGCCCTTCATTGTTTAAGATGCCTCTCCAAGGAAGAGAAACTCCAAGGACTTCTATCTGCAATAAAATTGACACAAGAAGTATTATCATGTTGCAGTTAATAATATGGATGCTTTCCTTGCATGCCTAACTCTGTTAATAAATGTGAATTATAAACAAGTAACTGAGAAGAAAAATCGTCTCGTAATAATTTCTAATAGTGATGCACTCGATCATTTATAGATTACTGAAGTAAAAAACAAAAGAGTATCACGAGTCAAGTTACGCCAGGCCAAATTGCTTATAAGCACTCTACCTCACCCAAAGTCATGGGGCTTCTTTCCAAATCAGCAGGATAAAATGTAAGTGCAATGACACGGGTGAGGAAGTCCAATTCACCTTCCACTTCCTCAAAATCATACAAGAATGGAAGGGCTGACGTATCTTGATCATGAAGGCGTGTGCCTGCTCCAGTGATAGCCAAATCCTCTTCATTGATCAGCCCTGGTAAAGGTATCAAGAGGTTTGTCCCATTTACACACTGAGGTATAGAAGCACCCTGCCAACGAGGTCCAATAAAGATCAGAGATCACAGGAGTGACTGTTGAAACAATACAAAAGAAACAAACTTTGTCCTGGGAACAACCCACTATATGTAGACACCAAACATATAAAACACAATTGATTATAGAGAGGGGGAAAAAATGCGCGCGTGCACACACAAAGTCCAGTTACAAGGGGAAACTCTAGAAGCAAAGTTTTAACATGAAAATTAGAAAAAGAGGCATCACCGACCTCAAGGACCAGTTTAAGACTATCCAGATTGCGTCCCGTCCTAACGTCAACTGTTGATGGATAAGTCGAGTCATCTGCACCATGAGATATTGTGAGAAGAAGCTGGCAAACATGACAAGGCTCGCCAAGATAGATAAAAAGTTCGACGACATCAGCAGCCTGTGGACAAACCTGCCAAAAAAATTTGCATTTTCCAAAAGAAACATTAACAGAGAGAACTCTAGTTGGATAATTATAGAGTCACTCACAAAAGGATCTCTTCTTAATGGGATTACAATAAACCATTTGTTGGAAAGATATATTTTAAGTACCCAAATTTGGTCTTTTCTCTTGAAACTCAGAAGACTTGATTCGCCACTTGAACTTGGAAACATACTGGTAACTGGCTTAAGAAAGAAACCAGATGGTCGAGAGACTACCTGCAATTATCAGCATGTTATGTGGAGATGCAGTCAAAGACTTCAACAACTAAAATGCAGGAAATTCCCAACAAAAAAAAAAAAAAAAAAAAATTCGTTTACAAGAAAACTTCATATGTAACAAGCAAAAAAAGACACTCAGATTACAAGAGCAGCATTGAACAAGTTAACTCAATCAGCAATTTTTTGGTGAAAATTAGCAAATTGCAGTCAGCCAATTAAACCAATTAGCCAATTAATCACGAGTAACAAAGACAACTAGATTCAAATGGAAGTCATCTGTCATACACTAAATTGTGCTCAGCTCCAAATTAATTTTTTTAAAAGAAACTATTAGAGGAAGGCTTTGATATGTTTCAGCATTTTGCAGCATATAATACACAATGCCAAATCCACAGTTATTAATTATTTAGTTCAAATAAACTCTCTGCAGGTTAATGAAAATCCAGAACAGCTTTGACTCTCGCCTTTTAGCAGACAACAAAGAAATAAGAAGCCCTGTAGAACTAATTAGGATAACAAGAACTTGGAAATCAACATAGGAATAATCACGTCAAAAATCTAGATACACAAACAACGAAAATAAGTTTGAAAATGGAAAGCAAAAGAGTAGGACTAGGACCACGATTAAGTTGGAAAAGTCCAAGCATGACGTACATTTAGAGGACACAAAGATATGGATGGAAGATGCTTGAAAAGTCGTATCCCTAGGAACATCTGCAACTGCTTTTGCCGAGAACTGTCCACAAGTGCATTTTTGTATCTTCTCTGCAAGGTGATTTTCATATTCTGAGCGGCAGAAAATAACTTTCCAGAATCTTCATTGAAAATGCTGAGAATTTGGCTATGCATAGCTTTTGAACCAGTATAAAGTGTGGCGTGAATATCACCAGCAAGCAGAAAAAGATCAGCAAGCTGGGATACAGGGGACAAAATTGTTGACCTCTTGAACTCCTCAAACGTCATGTCAAATCTTTTCCAAGGTTTATCTGGACAAGGATGCATCCATGTTGTAGTCCTAGTATTATGATCTATATAATAAATTTTTCCTGTCACTGTATCAGATCTTTTTTCCCACCCTGGTGGCAGAGGAGCAGTGTATCCACCATGATCATTAAACGACTGATAGCCAAATGCCAAGTCACTATCAAGTGATATTCCCAGCCGCCTACACTGCTCCATAAATACTTGGAGGGCACCAAAGAAACTAGCAGCATTGGTCCTATCTAAAGAATCGGCACAGTTGAAACGTAGCACTCCATTTTGACGGGATCTCAAGCAGAACGCACCTTCTAAGTTATCAGTATGGATGACTTCACCCTTGCAATCTTTAATCCGTTGTCTTGAAGGCAAATAATCTCCTTCAGATATGCCTATAGATACAGTGGGGGCTTTTAAAAGTTTCCATAACCCTTCAATTGTTTGCTGCTCGCCTTTTAATTTTGTACTGGCATGCCAGTCATAATTTATCAAATGGATTCGAGTATAGGGGAGTTTCCCAGTTGATCTAATATAATTCAAGGATTCCTCAAAGTGTTGAACTAAAATGCACTCTGACTTCCCTTCTCCATTTCTTAACAGGTTGATGCATACAATTGGAACTAAAGCTTTTCTATTCTGATTCACCCCAACAGATACATCAAAATTTCGAGCATCATATCTCTTACTTAACCTCTGATAATATTGTGTGCTTCCTTTGTACGGATCACAATCAGAAACATATATTTCTGCTTCCGCGGCAGTAATCTTTAGTTCTGCTCCCCACCAGATAGGAATCGTACCTCGTCTCCAGAGATATGTGTTAAAAGGAACACTCTGACCAGCTTTCCTAGGAACCCATACAAGCTGCTCACACTCAACTTCATTTCCTGTCCGGATTTACATTAGGCATAAGTTTACATGAACCATTTAAGATGTGGACAGATAACATAAAAGACAAACAGTACATTTGAAAAGTTAAAATCCAAATCCAATAATCAAAGCACGTTTCTTTGATGCCATCTGCTAAGTGCACATGACTTTTTGTTTTTATTTTGATATTCAGAGCTCTCTTTTGCTTCAAAAGTAGCCACTTATATTATTAAGAAAAATTCCAGAGCTGCTAATAGTAGGTTATCTTACCCGTGCTAAAACATGAATTTAATCCCCTTGCCAAATATCGAGTACCAGGATGCAACCTGCTCCGACGAGCAATAAGAGCAACAATCCCTTCTAGTTGCCCTGAGCTTCCAAAACTCCGACATTCTGCAAACCCCTACAGATTAATATAATATAAGACAGCAGTACGAACATAATAACTATAACAACTAAGATGCCACTCAAATGCCATGAGGTACTAAAGAATTTCGATTTAATGAACTGAAATAATAAAAGAAATTCTTTTGTAATCAATTTCACTAGAGCACCTGAAACATTAAATAAAAAATAATTTTTAAAAAAGTAAAAGCAAAGATAATGGGGCCAACTAATGGGGAAGCAAACCAACACTTGACTAAAATAATCAAACACAATGATTGACAAATGAGAGAAAAGCATTCTTATTAAAGGGGAAAAAAAGAATGAGATATTTGTACAAAGCACAATTGAAGTGAAATTGGGGAGTGGGGGTAGCAAAATTAATAACCATGAAATCTATTTTCTAGGCTCGATTGTATTATAGCTTCATATAGAGATGTATGCGTATGTGACAGCACAGTTTAAGACTTGGCAATAACGAGCACTCAAGTTGAAGATATTGAGAACAAAATAAAACCTGAAGAAGAATGACACAGTGTTGTGGCAGTCCAATGCTTTTGAAAGGCAATGAAAACCATCCATTCCATACAAATTCTTCATCAGGCTCATTAAAGGACATGCGACTTGGAAAAGGTCGTGTAATGTCCCTTGTCTCGCAAAAGTAGTGTTTTCCATCAATGTCAAGATCCGTCAATTCTTGAACATTTTTTACTTCACCTTTCCCTTGGGGTTGAGGATTTTGAAGTGATATCTTGATCCATTGGCTCTCGGTCACCGTATACACACACCCCCCACCCGGCAAATTGGGAATGCTAGCAGTTAACTTTGTCGCAACAAGAAGCAACCCAAAGCTTCCAAGGGCAGCATACCCCAACATTGCTCGAGCATAAGTTGTACTCTTACATAGCCATCTCGACCCATTTGTAATGTAATCTAGAGCTTCATTTTCTGACCTAAAGACATCAAGCCCCACCTTTGCATTGTATCGAAGCGCTCCTGTTGTTGGATCAACATATATCACCTGAGTGTCAAGCCTAGAGGCCAAGCTTGTGACGATATACACTTCACCAGTATCGAGGGTAACAACAACAATGGAGGTCTCCCTCAAACCACCAGCTGCAAACAATACGACAAAATAAATTCTAAGTCATATCTTCAAATCGATCTAAAACTCTATACAAGTAACATTAATCAGTCAGAGTTAGTAGTTACTCAAATAAGGGAGCCAATTCAAACTAAAATGAGAACAACAAACTACCATAAACAAACTATTCCCCAAGCAGTTTGAATAACACATTGGAGTTTTATTTATGAAGACCCCAGAAACAGTAGCCAACTAAGTGAAATCGTACTTTCTTCCACATAGTGACTTGTTAATCAATAATTTTCTCAACCCAAATTTCCAAACTTATTTTGAACCAAGAAGAGTTTTCATGAATACCCCAAAAGAGTACTACCAGCTACAGAGAATGGTTGGGAGTTGGGAATCCTCAAACAGAAATCACACAAACACACACACAAAAAGCCGGAAAAGCACAGGTTTTGGCGATAAAATACAAAAAAATTATAACAAACAGGCAATGAATACAACAAAACTACCAGGACTAGAAGTAACTGGGACAAATAGTCAATAATAGGAAAAGCGAAAAAACAAGAAGCAAATTGGGAAGCTAGATTACAAATCTGAGGGATATGGATACATAATAGTCAAATTCATAACAAAAGCTTCCAAAGCAACAGATCATACATCGCTAATTATATCCAAATCACGCATAAACAAACAATAGTTAACTAAAGAAGAAGAGGAAGATTTAGAAGATGAAGAAGAAGAAGCTGACCAGGTGATGCCATAACCGATCCTTAATAAATTAAGGAATTAAATCTTGATTTATTAATTCCTTAATAAATTAAGGAATTAAATCTTGATTTATTAATTCAACTGCGAATCGTCACCCAGTTTTCCGAGGAGAATTCCAATCCATCCGATTCCGATCAGCTATAGGGCTCGTCGTCCGCAGTTTTTTTTATACAATTTTTGGAACGCTCAACAATTCTTCGGCATTTTCTTCATTTCATTTGTTCGATTCCCCAAGGACGAAAAACAAAATAGGAAAGTGACTAAAAAGGAAAAAGAAAAAGAAAATTAACGTCTTCTTTGGTTCGACAAGAAAATATGTCCTTTGACAGACACGCTTGCGAGTCGAGAAGGGAGAGAGAGGAGGGCTTGTTTATTTTTTATTTTATTATTATTATTATTATTATTTTAGGATTCTCTAACCTAAAAAGCTCTACAGGTAGAGTGTTGTTTTTTAAGCGTTGAATTAATTTTTTAACTGTATAAATTTATATTAAAAATTTATAATGTATCGTATACCTATCTAATTATTAAAAAAATAATTTAACAATAAAAAATGATTTAATTATTAAAAAAATAATCTAACAATAAAAAATGATATTCTACCAATAAATCATTTTTTAGGATTCTCAAGTAAAGAGTCTCTTTTTTTTATTTCACTTTTCCTTTTTGGTTTTATTTTAGAGGATGTTTGGTAGAGGAATTCGTTCCCTGATTTGAATCATGATTCGTGGTTCGTTATAATATTTTTTCTCATAAAAAATTCACGTAAATTGAAAATGGTTCGAATCACATGGTTTGAATCTTCCAACCAAATGTTGTTTTAATTTTCTGGTTATGACAATGGTAAAACTTTTGATTTGACTTTTGGAGGAGTTTGAATCTATACATGGTAAGATCTTCTTTTCTTTGCTTAAACGACACACAATTTCCCCCGGATTCTTTTGGGGTTTTTTTTGGATTGGATTGGCCAAGTGGAAAGTTAAACGACAAGTAGAAAAATGGAGGAGGAAATTACAACGACAAAAAAGAATAAAAATAAAACCTGTATGCTAAGTGGAAAGTTAAACGACAAGTAGAAATGGAGGAGGAAATAACAACGACAAAAAAGAAAAAAAAACTGTATGCTAATTAAATTAATAATTGTAAGAGTATAAAGAACAGGAATGGAAAAAAAAAAAAAAAAAAAAGGTGCCCAAAACAGTCATTTCACAACGTCCATCGTCCAACAATGTTGGGTTCATTTTTTTCATTTATTTATCAAAAATAAATAAATAAATAAAAACATTGTTTATTTGTATAAGCTTTGCATAAACCACATACCGATTTAACAAAGGATTTCGAACATTAAAGCGACAGTCGTTTACCCAACTTACAGTAAACATGTTTGTATCAGCCTTCAATTTCCAAACTAGGAAACATTTCCAATTACAAAAGTGATTTATTTTATCTAAGTGACATATAGCTAAGATAATCTTTGCTCGCTATCTAGGCATGAAATGATCCTTAAAATATATCTACACGTCAGAAAATGATTTTTCCTCAACAGAAATACTCAAAGAACTAGCTAAACAGTACAGATTTTGGGGAAAGAGAGAATTCCGGGAAGGGAGAGCCGAGAAGAAGGAGAACAGTTTGGCCGGCTATTGAAAGTATCTCCGGTTAGCCGACCTTTAAAATACACTCACGCTTTCTACTTCAGCCGATCTACGTGATGATGGAGTCCATGCTAGTGTTTTCTCCTCTTTTTTAGTCGTAAGGGGAATAAATACAATCATTTTGCTAATGTTGTATTTGTTTCCCCCACCAAGCTTCTAACCTTGTGTGAGTTTTGTGTTGTTTTTTATTTTCTGTATATTTTTAACTAGATCTCTCGCTCGACGAGTTTAATTTGAAAGAATATCTGCTTTCAGAGATCAGTCTTTATTGAGAGTTTACTACAATCTTTTTAGGAGAGCCAACTGTAAAGAAAGACTTAAAAGAGCCTAGAGAGTGCTTCAAATTGTGTCTATGGATTCCTATATTAAGATGCCAACTGATCTATTGATTTTGATTTGTTGTATCAAATTTTATGTAAGAGCTTCATGCTTGCTGATTAGTGAAATGTCGTTTTGCATTTAAAAAAAAAAAACTAGAAAAATGCTTAGCTCCTAAAAACTCATTTAAGAAATCAACTAGAACTTGCAAATAATCTAATATGGATTAAATTATATTATGGCCGCAAAAATGTTTTTCATTGGGTGTCAAACTCAAATGTTTGTTAGAGCAGCATTCCGAAGTCACATGGAATACCGTATTTCTCTCCAACACGGCTAATTCTGTTGTATACTTGAAGCATTGTTGGCCTTTCATACGGAAAAGGATGAACACAATGAGAAAGGCATGGTTACATGTTATTTTATTTCTAAAAACACATTTATAATCCATTTTCTTTTAAAGTGATACTGTTGTAAGGTATAAAGATACAATCTATAAGAATATTGGGCCACCCTACTTATAAAATTGACCCTTTAAAATGGAAGTTCAAGCCTTTAAAAAGTTCAGAATACGTTTGGTTCATGGATTAAAATCATGAGATTAGAATCATTTTCGATTTACGTGTATTTTTTGTGAGAGAAAATACTGTAACGAATCAAGAATCATGATTCGAATCGGGATACAAATCCCCCAACCAAACAACTCATCAATTTCCACTTTATTATTACTAGTTGTCATTCTTAACAAAGATTTATTCTGCTTCGTTGGGTATCAAACATAATACGTGTTTGACTCCAATTGTAGCTGAATAGTCTTGATTGTTAGAGCAGCATTCCAAAATCACATGGGATGCCATATTTCTCTCCAATATGGCTAATTCTTTTGTATACTTGAAGCATTGTTGGCCTCTCATACGGAAAAGGATGAACACAATCTGCTACTATTCCCAGCACCTGCAATATCTCACCATCAAATCCATGCCCAATCAAAGCCTTGTCAATGGCATCATCGAAAACATAGGAGCTTGTTGAAAGATGGTTGATCCATTCTACTAAAGTATTGTGAAGATTCCTATAAGAAGAAGTAGTGATGGTTTCCTTCCCAGTAATCAACTCGAGCAACAAAATCCCAAAGTCGTAGACATCCTTCTTCACAAAATCTGATTCCCACACCCCACTATTCACGAACAAACCGGATTCATTCTCATTCGGGTACACAAACATTGCCCCTCCGTAATTTGACATGATAGCAGATCCGAAATTCGATATCTTGGGCTCGAAATAACGATCGAGTAAGACACATCTTGAGCTTATGTTACGATGGACAACTCGGAAAATGCACTTGTGGTGGAGGCAGGCCAAGCCTCTTGCTATTCCCATGGCAATTTTGATCCTCATAGGCCATTCCAAGATTTTAGCCTCACATTGCACATGATGCAAGCAATCATGGAGATTCCCATTTGACATGTATTTGTAAACCAGAAGTCTTTCATTTTCTTCCATGCAGAAACCCAAGAGAGGAATTATGTTGCCATGCCTTATTCTAGCCAAACCCAAGAGCTCAGACACGATTTGGCTCTCGAATTGCGGTGAGTCGTTTAATCTCTTAACCGCAAGAAACCAGCCGTTTTGAAGAGTGGCCTTGTACATTGTCCCCGTCTTTCCCTTTCCTATTACATTGTCCTCGCTGAAATTGTCTGTTGCCTTACTGAGTTCAGTAAAACTCATTCTGTTAACCAGTTTTTCAAGCTGTGAAACCTGTTAATGAGATGACAATAACTCTTGGTTAATTCTGTAAGATTTGTGTGAACAAAGTTCCAACTCATGAAATAGAAACTGAAAGCAACCACGCATGATGCATTAAGTCTTTTCTACTAAAATTTTACCTACTTGTTACAAAATGCAATGTGAAAGAAAAGTGTTTTCGAAAGGAAGTGAAAGGAATAATAAAGGGGTCATTAATTCTCTTTTTACTGTTTTTTAACTCCACTAGGAATAGGAATCTTAATAGCTTAAGTAAAAAAAATGTTCCTGTGGTCCCTAATTCAAAAGGATACAAAATCTGGGTAACTTAGGATTGGCTTTCCCCATCTTAATTCAAACAAAATTAGCACTCCTGATTATCCTAACTAAACATGCGAATAGTTGGGAAAAGGAAACATGCGTCTCTTGCCCTTTATATTCATTATGAGTAATTATATCCTTAATATAAGAGCTCATACACAGAAAAGGAATTTGAGATATTCTCTCTAATAGTTAGAGGGAGATCTATTAAACTGAAATTAAAGAGAATACCTCATATTTGTTCTTGAGAGTTGGAAGGTGAAGTAGTTGATCAGCTTCTTTTCTTCTGAGCCTGTTTTGCACCGGCACCATAGAAAATAATATCATCTTGATTATGCTCTTCACTTGCAGCCAGGACACAGAAAACAAAATAAACGCAGCTGCAGCCGAAACAAAATAGCCAACTTGAAACCCAGTTCTGAATGGATCATCATCGAATTTCTTCTTATGCTTGAGCCGGCAACGTCTCAACGGCCCCCCACAAAGTTTACTATTGTTCGCATACGTTTCCATCCTCGCTCCTGTTAGGAAATCAGGAACTGGTCCTGAAAGCAGATTGTCCGCCACGCTAAACATTTTGAGCCTACTAAGCAAACCAAGTTCCTTAGGCAAATTGCCGGTGAGTCGGTTGTGATCGAGCTTTAGGACATTTAGATAAGTACAATTTGCTAGGCTCTTTGGGATTTCACCTGAAAAGTTGTTGGAGGAAAGATCAAGACTTGTCACAGAAGGAAGCAAAGTCCCTATGTCGGATGGAATGGGTCCGTGGAGTTTGTTGTTGGAGAGGTCCAAACCAGTTAAGCTTCTGCAGCGTCCAAGTCCTCTTGGGAAAGTGCCCTTAAGCCCCATATCGGTGATTCTGATGTTAAGGACCTTGTTCTCATCAGGATGCCAGCAGTCTACTCCTATAAATTTACAGATGAAACCTTCTGTGTTGTTGTTAAAGTCCCATGAAGCCAAGTAACCATAAGGGTCTTCAAGGGAAGCTTTAATAGCTTTCAAGCAATGGATATCGTCCACAAGAGCACGACTCGCTCCGAACGAACATATTGACAGCAAAAGGAACAAGCGGAGCAAAGCAAGAGCTGTACAGATTTTGAGAGCCATATTGATCATATATGTCTTCGACCACAGGCTTAATGCAAGGGGCAGAGGCAACACTAGTCATATTAAGTAAAGAAAGAAGGATATTACAGGGTGGATTGAGTTCGTATGCCCTTTTTTTCCTCTCTCTTTTGTGTCTTTCTAATAAAAACATGACACGTCTTTTTTGTGTCTTTCTAATAAAAACATGACACATCTTTTTAATTGACGTGATAATAATATTTAATTAATGTGATATTTTAATTGACTTATCACAATATTATTAAAAAGACGTAAAAAATAATAAAAATAAAGAAATATAGGGGTGCGTTTGGAATTAATTCTAAAATATTTTTATTTTCTGTATGAAAATAGAAATGAAAACGTTTTCATTTTCATTTTAAAATTATTTATGAAATGCGTTTGGTAGTTTTATTCAGAGATTGATTTTAGTTTTAAAAAAAACTGAAACTGTGTTTGGTGGTTTAATTTTTAAAAACATGTAATAATATTTAAAATAATAATATATTAAATAAATAATATTAATTAAATAATAATATATTAAATAAACATCATTATATAAGACAAAAACAGTTTCAAAAAAGAGAGAGAAGAAAATGAAAAAAAAAATGAAATCCGTTTTTAAAAAACGAAAACAAGAAAATGAAAACACATTTTTTTCGTTTTCTATTTTTCACAAAAGATAAAAACGGTTTTATTTTTGTTTTTTAAAAATTTTTAAGCCAAACACATTTTCTGTTTCTGTTTTCATTTTTTAGTCTTGAAAAACGTGAAAAATGAAAATGAAAACAGAAACAAACAGGGCATGAGTTAGTTCCATTATAGGGCTACCAAGACAAGCAAGCAGGGTCTTCAAAGTCAAGCCACATATATATGTATTTCCAAGTCAATATTAGAAATGATAGCTAGACGAAGACTTGGAACTTGCAAGGAAAAGAGCCAAAATTAAATGGTCTCTGCATGTCAATTCCCATGCGTTGGCTCATTAGTCATGGCGTGCTTTAAGGTCATAAACTTACACGCGTTTTCAGCAGTTTATATATATCACTGTAGCTCAAATCAAAAGGAGCCAAGTCACAACTTCCTTGGGTGCATATTAGCTAAATCTTTCCTTGTAATATATATATATATATATATATATATATATATATAGTAGAGTGATCTTAATTTGGCCACAGAATTCAGCTAATATTTGGAGTATTATACTAAATACCGTAGATCATAATTTAAGCACGTGAAATTAATCTTTTCTTTTTTTTTTTTTTAGGTGGAAACATGAAAGGAATTTCATCCTATGCGTTTTTAGAATATGCATTTTTTTTTTTTTTGGCCTTTTCAATGTCCGCTCCAGTTAAAGTTTTGTTAACCCTGTTGAGATGTAGAAGAAAACAGCATTATTGTCCAAGTAATATAACATATTAAAGACACAGTAACACTGAAACGAGTGCTCTACTTTATGCTCCTTTTTTCTCCCTCTTTTGGATAAAGATATCAGAAGAGCTCTTTTGACCACAGAACTGAATTGTATATCACAAACGCGTTGAATATGCAAATAAATAAATAAATAAATAAGGGTCTATCTATTAATTGTTTGTTGCTCACTTCCGCCATGAATTCTGATATGATCTCTAAGGCTCTAGCACCATCGTGTACATGATATATCATCTCGGAAAAAACAGAAAAAAGCGACAGACTTCTGAAAATAAGGATTTTTTTTTTTACATAAAATAGTTAAACAAAACACAGTAACTTCCAAAAAAAAAACACAGTAACAACACTCAAGAATTATAAAAGGACAAGAAGGATATGAATGACATAAACTGAAGAAAAATGAAAAAATAAATAAAAAGAACGACAACTACCAGAAGAAAACGACAATAAAATAGTTAAGCGGCAACAAACAATAAACACTGACGACTTGGAAGGACAACAAACAGAAGAAAAAGGGCAAGAAATTGAAAAAGACATTGAAAACGACAAAAAGCCAAAACAAGAACGTAAAAAGTAGTTCAATGACAGCACATAAGAATATCAATCATAGAACAACTCATTTTAAAATGATTTTATTTTTTATATAAAAATAAAAATAAAAACGTTTTCAATCTCAGACATGAATCGTTTTTGAAAATGTGTTTTGTAGTTTTATCAAGAGATTTTTTTCAGTATAAAAAACTCATTAATGTCTCTATCTGCTCGAGAGAGGAGAAAATAAAAACAAAAAATAATAACTAAAAGTCGTTTTTCATTTCTCTCTCATTTTACACTAAACTAAAAAATCATTTTTATTTTTATTTTTAACACCATTTTAAAAATATTTTCATTTTTTTATTCTCAAAAAATGTAAAAAACAAAAATGAGATAAATTCCAGCCATAAGTACAACAGAAACATTTCAGAATGACAAAAAGGACAGACACTAGAGGAATTCGTTCCCTGATTTAAATTATGATTAGTGATTCACTATAGTATTTTCTCTCATAAAAAATACACGTAAATAAAAAATGATTCGAATAACATAGTTTGAATCCTCTAACCAAACGTCTTATTTAAACGACAAGAAAACAGTAAACAATTACAACACAATGAAATTAAAGATAAAACGACAATGAAATTAAAGAGACTTTGGAACTGGAGTCTGGAAGACCATAATAGAATTGAGTACAGCAGCAAAAAAACAAAAAAAAAATGATGAGCAGCATAAAGGATTAAAACGACAATAAAACGGAACTGTACAACACGAAGGAAATTGCTAAACCACTGGAAAGCGATAAGAAGGTAGTGAGTACAACAAACTGAACAACAACAACAACAACAAACAAATTGGAAGACCAATGATAAAATGGGGAAGCAAGTAAGAAACTAGAGAGAAAAAAAAAAAAAAAGAAAAAAGAAGAATGGCGACAACTCCAGCAACTAGGAAGACCACAAACAACCACAAAGACCTTAAGAACGACAATAAAAAACAAAAACGACACAAACTTGGAAGACCATAATACAAAAGGAAACGACAACGACAACAAATAAAGGTGTGAAGGAAAATACAATATACTGTGAGGGTCGATACAGAATAAAGCAAATTTCAGGGCAACCATGGTAAATTTGAATATCCTAAAACGATGAAGTACGAAAGGGACTTGAAAGAGCGAAGACATGGATGAGGGTCCCACAAGAGAAACGAGAGGAGAAGAGGAGCTGAACAAGATCAAGCTAAGTGCTTGAACAAGCCACACGATTTGCCTCGTCATCTTCATAATTCTTTTTCATTGGACAATCCTCACACAAATCCAAAACCCATTTTCGGTTTTCAGATATCTCCTGTTTAAAATAAAAATGACCATAATAATTTTGACTCCATTTCGATTTTCGGCTATTTAGCTTTGCCTTGTATCTTAAGAAGCCCATTTCAGCAACTGTAACTAAGTTTTTGGTCGGTGGGTTTTCTTAGAATTTGAAGTTAATTTGTTCAGGATGAGAGTTTTGTGAGTTATTTGTGTATTTCTTTTTGGGGTGTTTGAGTTTTTCAGTTGATGATATGACAATGTTGCCTGTTTGTTCTGCAACTCCAAGCTGTTCTTCTCATTCTCAGGTCAGATTCCAAATTGTTTGCTTCTTTTCTAATCCAATACTTATCTAATAAGATTTGCTTACCCCAGGTTTATTTGGTTTTTTTATGTAATCGGTTCTGAGCTGATTAGTCTAGATTGTGTTGATAGATGTTTATGGATCATCCCAGTTGTAGGATTATAACTTTTAATCCGTTACTAATGTGTGTTTTGTCTAGTGAACTTGGTTGTCATTGTTTCAAAAAATATATACCCCCTTTCATTAGTTTTTTTTTTTTTTTTTGGACCTTAGATTTCAAGTGACAAAAGACACATTACAAGTTTGGTCTTTAGAGGAACTAATGATAAAGACAATCCCTTTATTGCTACAAGCAGAAAATCGTTGTCATTCTTACTGTCAATTTCACTTATGACACCAGTAATGTGTTTTCATAAATTTGTTTACGTTAGGTTTAATCTGTTTTTATATATTTTGGCGGCTCTTTTTTCCCTTATGTTTAGATTGTGTAAATTGCTGATCACAGATACTCCCACTTTTTGGATTGTCTTGTGAAAATTGGTTGGCATAGGAGAAAAAGTGTCCCTTAATTGATTAATCTATTTCTCAACTTTAAATTTGATCATTTGAATTAGAAAAGAAGTTAAGTTTGGAGGAGTCAACAAAAAGTGACCCTTTGCTGCGTAGAAGATGAAAATGTTAACGACACCACATCACTAATGTGTCTGTATAACATCTCTGTGGATATGCTTATCGAACTTTATTAATTCGTTGGAAAGTTTGAATTTCACAGATTTCAGCCCATGGAGGGTTGCGCCCCTTTTCCTCATTCCAGAAGGAAATTGAGGCCAGATGTCTGCTCGAATATCGGGTCTTAGGATTGTCAAATGGAGTGAATTTGCAAAGAGATTTCTTCAGAACACATGCCGCAAAGTCTTCCTATTCTAATTTTGTGAAGGGCACAGAAAAATTGGTCTCCGCTAATTTTATTGCTGAAAATTCCTGCCAAAATGAGTCAGACTATCTTAAATGCAAGCATTCCTATGCGTGGAGCTCTTCAACAGGAGATGAATATAAAAGTCATCCAACGGGAAGCGTTGAACTGAAGTATGTTGAAAACTTGGACCTATCTGCCACAGATAATGGAGTGGTGGATCTTACTGACAATTTGAATGAAAATGCTAATGTTTTGTCTGGCTATGTACAACCTGAAACCATTACATCTGTTGATTTAATGCCAGAATCATCCACCTCGGCGGCTCCATCTGTCTCCCTAGATGTGGATGGTGATTCGTTGTCTGGTGCAAAATCTAGTTTCGAGGAGTTTACAGCTGGGGTTAGTAGTACTTTTAATGATTCAATCAGCAAAGGAGAAAATGCTGTGAATAGTTCACTTGAGACAGTCAATTCATCAATATCATCTATCATTAGAAGCGCTAATGATGCAGTGGATGGTGCTGTTGGTAAAGTGTTTTCAACTTTCGATAAAACCGGAGAATTAGCTGGTAATAAAGTGACAAATTTTTCAAGTGACCTGAAGGAAACCACAAGCAAAGCAGCTGTTATTGCTGTTGATTTGTTGAGACGTACAATTGTTGCCGTGGAGGATTCTTTAACAAATGGCACTTCCTTTGTTATTTATTCTTATCAGTCTGCCAAAGAATCGCTTCCTCCTGAGATTAGGGATGCACTTAATTTGTCTGAAGAGAAAGCAAATCAAATTCTTGGTCCTGCTAAGATTGCTTTTCAGAAGGTACTTCTGTAAATGTTAGCTCATGCTTTCTACCTTGGATAACATTTATATGATTCTCATATGGGATCTTCATAGATTCTTTTATGTTTGTCAGTACAAAATGACCATCTGGCCTATGCATTTTTTTCCCAGATTACCTGAAGTGTTCCCTAGGTTCAAACCTTTTTTAATCTTTTCTTTGAGGTTGTCAGTCTTCACCTTTTTGGTACGAATTCTTTTAGTTTGACTGAAAAACTGTTTGAACCGGATGCAATTTGAATTTATTGTGTTTGTTTTCATAGCTTAAAACTGTATCCCGATGACATTCTTAAAGCTAAAGTTAACTGTGCTATAAGCAGGTTTATATTGCTATTGAGGGGTTAGAGAAAGGTCTTGGCTTGGACCCAAATGATCCAATCGTTCCATTTGTCCTTTTTCTTGGCACCTCTGCAACGTTATGGTATGAAAGTCCTTTTTTGCTAAGAAATTTTTATCTTTTATCTTTTCTCTTTCCAATTTTTATCTTTTATCTTTTCTCTTTCCTTGTTTATTATGAAAATGGATTAGTCTGCTGCGTGAGAAATTTATATTTCTCATCAGATTTGGTACAGGGTCTTCTATTGGGTGTTGACATATAGCGGTTATGCGGGAGATTTGTCTCCTCAATTAACTTTGGAGATCTTGACAGGGAAGGAGAATGCTGTACTCATTGATATCCGGCCTGAGGCAAGAGACATTCTTTTGGTTTATCAGTTACTACTTTGTAGACTGTAATATTTTTAAGTATGCTGAGTTTTCCAAGTGAAATTCTAACCCATCATTCCTTTTGAAGTCATGTATTGGAGGAGATGAGAAAGAATCCCTTCTGAAAATACTTTGTTAATTCCCCCATGGATTTTGAATCTGATATTTTCTTTGTGAAGGTTTTGAGAGAACGAGATGGCATTCCAGATCTCCGACGATCAGCTCGGTATCGCTATGCAAGTATAACTATTCCTGAGGTTGGTTTACACTTAATTTGTCGTTAGACAAGGATTGATTCCAAGTCTATACTTGCTATGGTGAGGACCTTATGAATGTTATGGTGAGGGACCTAAACATGCGAGTTGCATTGTTATGATTCTTATTACTTTTCAGGTTAATGGGTCTCAACGCAAGTTGTTCAAGAATGGACGAGACCTTGAAGACACCTTGACTGCTGCTGTTATTCGGAACTTGAAGATTGTCCAGGTGAGGATTGAAGAGCTTTATGTTTTTCATTGCTAGGAACCAAACTCATTTTTAAATCTATTGGCGCAGCAACAATTTAACCTAGCTAGCAATTATATATTTTTGTAAGCATTGTGTCTCCTCGACCAGCTCTTTTATGCTTTTGGTCATACTTATCATGAGGTGTACACATGCTAAAAGATTATAAAATCCAACTATTGAAAACGATGTATAACATTTGGGAAATAAATTATAATGTTTAGATATGGTTCCTCTATCAATATTCTGACCTTCATGGTTGGGATCTGGCCTGAATAATGATTTTGGTTGGGTTTTCTACTATTTGTAGGACAGATCCAAGGTTATAGTTCTTGATGCTGAAGGTTCTCGTTCTAAAGGAATTGCAAGATCCTTGAGAAAGCTTGGGGTTAAGGCAAGTGTTTCTAACTCGGTTTTAAGGCAACCCTGGACGGTCGTGCTCGTGTATCTAGCTTGTGAACTATGATTTTGAGTCCTGAAAAATCAAATTGCTAGTTGTAGTTTCACATTCAATTTCACTAAAGTGATCAGATAATTTAGATGGAAGGATCCTTTTCTATTTTATTGCCTGAATGAAAATCAAGCTGTCCAATTCTAGGCAAAAGTTATTGGTCATCTACTCATCTTCGATTGCATTTGAACATGCAAGTGTTGATTATGACGCTGTATCCTACATGACAGCAATCTTACTTGGTTCAAGGCGGCTTCCGGTCTTGGGTGAAAGAGGGTCTTCGTGTTAAGGGACTCAAACCTGAGACGGCGCTTACCATACTCAACGAGGTATCTAATTTATATATTTACTAATTTTTGATGACTAGAGTTGATTTTATCACATTATGCTCATGCAAAACTTGCATATATTTCAGGATGCAGAAGCAATCCTGGAGGATATTAAAACTTCTCCAATACAAGTTCTTGGGTATGGCGTGGTAAGCTTCATGTTTTTTCTACACTACCGTGTTAATAAGTTCCAACATGGTTAATTGTCACTTAAATTGGTTAAGACTAAATAGACACAGGGATATACCAGATGCAACCGGGGGGTGCGTTGATGACTTTGTACCGAAGATGTTATTCTTTGTGCAACTTTAGCTAATAAAAGTGACTACTTCATCTGCAGGGTTTGATCGCGGCGTCGTATGCAGTATTAGGTAGTATACTTGTTCTTGTATCTGTCATCCGCTCATATGCACTGCTGAATCTGTCATCTATTAGGTAACTGTTTTTGGTTTTTGCCTCTCTTTTTCCTGACTAAACATGGTAATCTCTGTTTCCAGAATGGGAGAAAACACTCCAATTCATTGGCGTTATTGGCCTTGGTCAGGTATTTTCTCATTTATTTCTGTCTCAGTTTAGAACTCCATCTCTTTGCTTGCTGCTTCTCGTGAACTGTTGCTTCCCTCCTCCTTCCCCTACTACTTGTACTTTCTATCAACTTAAGGCTGTCTTTGGTGAGAGGAAAAGGAAACAGTAAGGATAAGTAGATTATAACCTTGGGTGAGAAAAATGAAAAGGAAGGAAATGACGGTTCTCGTATTAAGTTTGGTATGGATTCCTTCCTCCAATCCTTCTGAAATCAGAGGATCAAAATTGGAGTCTTGCAAAGGATTTTGGATCTCTTATCTAGTCCATTCCCTCCTACCAAACAACCATAAAGTCTTTAAATCCATCCATTAAACCCCCTATACTTATTTCTCCTACCAAACAAGGCATCTGAATCTTCTTTTATGCCCTTTTCTGTATTTAAGCTATATCGTTCAATTTTGAACCATTTCTTTATTCCTTGGTGCATTATAATCCTTGCAGACCGTATTCCGGCGTGTTGCTTCTTATGAGCGCGCTGACGATTTCAAACAAGATGTGAGGTAAAAGTTTTCTCCCTTAGATCCTAGCAGGAGATTTTTAACCACTATCATTTTTTGTTTAATGCCCTTTTGTTACTTTTATATGTCATATATATTTCACTTAAATGTCTTGCTGTTGCTGTTATTACGATGCTCCCAGGCTATTGCTTGCTCCTGCTAGAATTGGAGCTCAGGCATTCTCATGGGCAGCCGGAAAATTGGAGTCGAACCGTGTTGGAATTCCGACATCTCCATCATCCTCAGATGTCCAAAACCGGGTTCTCCAGGCAGCTGCAAAGCACGAATCTCAACCATCTGATGCTGAAGGTTTAGCTGATCAATCTCCCGAGTCAACGATTTCTGTAAGCGAGAATGTAGATCTCTCTGAAGCGTAGAGCTTCAGTTTTTCTTGCTGCGGTATCACTTCAACTGTGAGCCTAATATTCTGACTTGAGAACACAAATTACCCTTGTTACTGTACAATAAGCAGTCATTCACAAATTACTCCCCTTCTTTTTCTTTTGTTTATGCAAAGTACGACTGTTATGTACCTTTTTTCTTCAAATAAATAACCCAAGTTTTGTACATTTTCGTTATATCAATTATTTGTGCTAGCAAATTTAACTCTGTTTTTCTCGAGACTGACTTGTAAAGAATTCAAAAGGGTCGAGTGAAGTACAATGCAGAAGGTACAATGGAATTGAGAGATGCAAATACTCTGCCCAGTGAACGAGATAATGAAAAAATAACAATGGTAAATTGCCTAGATCCACTGATTCAAATCAACTTCCTTCTCAAGTATATATCCTACACTGATAGTTGAAAATTATCATTAAATATGGAACTGTGAAAGGGTATATTGAACAGTCGAACATACTCTGCTACATGTGGGGAAAAAGATGGTGATTGTTGACTACTTGACATGGCCGCTTGATAGGTTCACTGTGAATTAGGGAAAATATACAGAAATTTGTGTGGTATACTTAATCTGATAACTGATATACATCTAAACAGAGAAGTTTAATGTCGATTTCTGGTGTAGGAAGCCCGGATGTATTCTCTCTTTCAATCTCTCTGCGGGGAGTGGAAGCATTCTCAATTCTCCACCATTTTTTTTCTTTCAGAAAATCACAAGCACATGCTTTTTCCATAAGATACCTATAAAACCACATCTAAAACAGTACCTCATTTCTGATGAAATTCCCAAGTCTCTTCTTTTTCACCTGGGTAATTTTAGGAATAATTCATTCCTTCTCAGCAATTACCACAAAAACATCCTTCACTGACCACCTTTGTCTGTTGCTTTTGGATGGAGGATTAATTACAGCTCTCTCAGCATTAGCCAACCGGTAACCAATCCAGTGAACAAGATAATGAAAAAATAACAATGGTAAATTGCCTAGATCCACTGATTCAAATCAACTTCCTTCTCAAGTATATATCCTACACTAATAGTTGAAAATTATCATTAAATATGGAACTGTGAAAGGGTATATTGAACAGTCGAACATACTCTGCTACATGTGGGGAAAAAAATGGTGATTGTTGACTACTTGACATGGCCGCTTGATAGGTTCACTGTGAATTAGGGAAAATATACAGAAATTTGTGTGGTATACTTAATCTGATAACTGATATACATCTAAACAGAGAAGTTTAATGTCGATTTCTGGTGTAGGAAGCCCGGATGTATTCTCTCTTTCAATCTCTCTGCGGGGAGTGGAAGCATTCTCAATTCTCCACCATTTTTTTTCTTTCAGAAAATCACAAGCACATGCTTTTTCCATAAGATGCCTATAAAACCACATCTAAAACAGTACCTCATTTCTGATGAAATTCCCAAGTCTTTTCTTTTTCACCTGGGTAATTTTAGGAATAATTCATTCCTTCTCAGCAATTACCACAAAAACATCCTTCACTGACCACCTTTGTCTGTTGCTTTTGGATGGAGGATTAATTACAGCTCTCTCAGCATTAGCCAACCGGTAACCAATCACAATCTCTCTCCTCTGTCGGGCTCGTAGGTTTACTTCATAGAAACTCAATTCCTCACCTTCACGAAGATAGAGATCTGCTTGCCGTATTTGTAACTCATTTCCCTGAAGGAAACGAAAAGTTGACAAAAACCCAACATCATGTTTAGTGTACTGCAATACTGATTAAGAGTCGTCGAAAAGAAGAATTCACCTAACGAGCTCAGCTATGCCTATGCATGCATAAAAAATAGCAGATGTTTGCAAACTACCAAAGGTGGAGGGGTGACGATGGCTATGATGTTTGTCTTATAGCTCTGTGTTTCTAATAATTGATTAAATAAAAAACTCTTTTCTTTAGCATAAAGCCCTAATGTTCATTTTTCAGAAAACCCGCAATATCAAACATGTGGCGATTTTGCATGGAGGAGTAACAGTTAAATTTTTCTCACAATCTTCTATAACAATAATAATAATTTCTTGCACTTTCTCCTATTTGCTGAATAAAGTACTGAATAGGTGGAATAGCCAATCTATCAAAGAGAAGAATACCTCCTCGGCAAAGAGCTCTTCCAACACATTGTTTATTTGTCGATCCTCAGCAACCATGGCTAATGCCATGCTGACGAGCTCATTTGATAGCACATAATCACTGATCTTTGACATGGCTAATAGATTTTTAGTCCTTGGATCCAGAATTTCACTAATTATAACTGACTTGTCAGAAGCCTGCTGCATTTCGCCAATCCAAGAGCCTTGTGAGAAGCTTCCTCTGTGAACTTGTGTTACCATCGGCATCCGCTTGGCCTGCAAAACCATAAAGCTTTGGAGATTGAATATAACAAAGCCCCATAGACAAGCAGTTCTCCGTAAAAGAACGTCACGAATCGAATGAAGATTAAGAAGTAACTCGCCCAATTTGGGCAGTTCTTTCCCCACAAAACCAAGCGACAATGAATTTCTTCACCCCCAGTCGAAAATTCTAATTGCGTACGTGAATTGTTCATAATATCTATCTGCAGAGATAAAAATATTAAAGAAGTTGAAACGGCTAAACAAATACCACTAAGTACCTGAATATCGCGAATCAACAGTAATGTGGCAAGAGATCTGGAGTCGGCTTGAATTGCTGAGTCTTCCACAGACTCATCAGCTAGAATTAAGATCTGTAGAAATGAATAACATATTAGCAGGATGACCTTTGAAATGTGAAGAATGATATCTTAAAAGTAAACTAGAGTCTATACAAGTCCCATAAATGGAAAGTTATGTCTCCCTAATTTAAGATGTTGCGTCCTGCATGATAGTCATTCATCTATCACAGTCAAATGGCAAATAATGCCATTGCTCCAGTCTCCGGAAAGGAAGACCAGTAAAATAATGTCACTGCAGTACTTTGGTAATCATTTTTCCTACAAATGATATTAGTGTTATCTGTTGCTACCATTCTACAAATGCTTAAAAGGACGTCCAGTATCATGCTACTCACAGAATCAAAAGATTCCAAAGGCAGGCTTTCCAAATGACGCCGTATAACAGCATTTCCCTCACGATTAACCAGAGTTATATTCTCCAACCTGCTGATATCAAGACCACCGTCAATGAGCTTCTTTTCCCTTTCATTTTCCGCAACTTCGTTAAACATCCAGAGCTCTGAACCATGTGCCAGGAAGGCATCCAACACCTGCGCAGAAAGCATAAAATCAAGGTAACTTGTGGTAACTGACAGTTCTAGTGTTTGGAATTGCAGAAGTAGCAATCCACTTTTGAGGCTGAAGCAGAAAGCATTAAACTGTCTCTGACATAGCCATCATCCATTTGTGCATGCTAAGAATAGCACCCAGATGTACTGGGAGCCAGATTGCAAACCCTTGTAAGATTACCATAATAATATCCTCCATATCTCGTCGCCAACCACACAAAAGTATCTTTTCAGCTTTCTTTGGAACAATAAAGTCTTTGGGTAGACTTCCTCTCCAGACCTGCAGCATTCAGGTGGAAAAAACAGAGATTAGGAGCTTCAATAGAAGCACGTACCACAATCATATCATCAATGTCCCTCCTCCATCCACATAGTAGAATCTTCTGTGGCTTTCTTGATGGCCGGGTGATGTGTATGAATGATGCCTCTTTGACCTGAATGATCAAATTGATTATACTTATGTAAGTTTTAATGAAGGCATCCACATCCCCCATTTACTAAATTTCCATTTTAGGGATCATCAAGGCACATGAAAATTTTCTTTTGTAATAATACACGTAACCCATTCTATTTCTTTTGCTCAATATTTCCTCCTCTTTAAACTGTGAGGCTGGACCACGTCTGTAACAACTTGATTACTAGTAATACTTTTCCTGTTATAGGAATCGGATTAAGATAATATATAGAATCATTTATCGAATTACCTAGAAACAAACAATGAATAAACTAGAAGAAAAACCAATGTGAAAATTTGATGGTTTTAAGGGAATGTGAAAGCACCATAGGCAACGCCGCTGGAGCATATGTATCATCATCCTCCGCTATCACAAGAACTTCATCACCTTCTTCTAGAACATAGGAATCCTCGGGATTTAGAATAATTTTACCACCTAATGATGCAACCTTGACTCCACAGGGGATGGCATCAGGGAAACTGATCAAGGCATCCTCAAAATGCATGCCATCCAATTGAGGCCATCTTTTGATGTAGAACTCACAATTTTCAAACCCAAGGATATCTTCCCAAATCTGCCATAGCCAGCCCAGAAGTTTTTTTTTTTTTTTTTTTTTTTTTTTAAAGTTAGTACAAAAAGTTCAAAAATATCTAACAACCCAAAATAATTTTTTATTTTTTTTATTTTTTATTTTTTTTTATTTTTTAAAGTTAGTACAAAAAGTTCAAAAATATCTAACAACCCAAAATAATATTAGAAGCATTTTGGAGCAGTGACCTGTGCAAGTCCTGGCTGTCTAGCACATTGAATCATCAAGCGGCCAATAACATCATGAGCCACAACAGTCTCAACAAGGTCCCCGCCAACAAGTTTAACAAGAACCTCATTGTCAAGATCACTTAGCTCAACCACTATATGTCCTCTAAGCCCTTCTTTTACTCCCGTTAGACTTAAAACAGTTCTCAGTGCACGAGCATCGCTCTGCACCAATTCAGAGAGAATTAAGTTTAAAGTCTAAACTATTCATGCACAAAATCCAACATTTGCAACCCCAAAAAAGAGAGACTGACTGAAGCAGACCTGATCAGCGTTTCCATCTTCAGCAAGGATGACTATTGCACGGGCCTTTGAGACAGATACCTGCAAAGTGAATACTATTAGGAAACCGGAAGGGGCTTGCACAAGCTAAGAATATTTTAAAAATTTTTGTGATTGCATCCCCCGGAAAGCAAATATTTTAATAAGCAAGAGTACAGACCTTTTTCAAGTCAGCCAGAATAAGAGGACTCCCACTTCTGCAAATGACGGATGTTCCTTTGAAATCAAACTCCATTTTTGCAATGTCAAGTTCCATTTCCTCCTTGTCTCTCTCGACCATTACCACAACCATTCCTCCCCCCAAACTCTCGTTTGCTATTGCAAGCTGATTTAATAGTGATCCCTAAAAAATTGAAAGGGTACTACCAGTCATTAGACAATACGAGCCACTTAAACTAGCATATAAATGTTTTTAATGATCACATTCTTCCATGACCATGCCAACATAATAGTAAACTTTTCTCTCACTCATTTTCTAATAAAACAGATAAAAGATAATCCCCTTAATCACCTAGATCAGCAACAAAAGCAAAAACTTACCAATTTATCGCTCCACCCAAGAATCAACGTATGGTTTTGCTCAACTACCTCGCTTCTTCCTTTCCTCAACGAATCAAACTTTTCGGAAATTGCATCAGAAACAAGTCCAAGCATCATTGCAAAGATTAGCATACCACCAAAGCTAATAGAAACCGAAACTAATCTTTCACCGATTTGTTCAGAGTTAGCATGATTGCCAGAATCAGCCACATAAGTCCATGATAACCAAAGGCATTCTGCTAAGTTATCGTCTTTCACTCCGAAAAGCGCTAACCCACCAAGACAAATAAGTAAAAGAGTTGCAACTAGCAATCCCAATGGCTTAGCATATGGGTGGACTGATAAAAACACATCGACCTGATACGCTAGCTGCTTGTTGAGAGAAACTTCTTCTGAAATATTTTCCGATGACCTTTGTTTTGATACATAGTCAATAAACTTGAAGGCAAATATGGGGATGGATAGAAGTGTGACTGAAACAAAAAGAGCCAATCTTTTTAAGCTTTTGCTGGGAAGATCATCAGTGTCCCCTGCAAAGGAATTGATAGAATCTATTGATTCTGACAAATTGCAGGCAAGAAGTGAAGTTTCAAGCTCAGAAATGTGCTCCTGAAAAAAAAAAAAAAATTTGTAAGCATCATAATCTTACGCAATGGAAGAAGCTTCAGCACAATATCTTGAAACAAAAAATAATCAGATAAAGGTCCCAAACAACACCAAGATAAGAGACATTTAACTCGACATTGGCAAGGAAAAGTATCATGAGAAAACACTATAATTTTCAAAAAATGATACAAATATAATAACAACCAACAAACTCGAGATCAACTAGCAATTAATCCTTTTAAAAAAATCCATCATAAAAACTGTGTTTCTTTAAACCTGCAAGGCATTTTATTTTTTTTGGCTCTGAACCTGCAAGGCATTGACTTGGTTCTTTAAAGATAAATTTTGATACAAAATTTATCAAAAGCAGACAAATTTTGAAAACCACTTGAATTTTCTTTTCCTTCTATAAACTGCGAGGCATTGAATTGGTTGTCTAAAGAGATTTTATGGTACAAAAAAATGCGTTAAAAAAACAACAGCGAAATGATCTAAGTGATCTTTTTTGCTTTTCTTTTTCTTTTTTTACAAGACATTGACTTGGTTGTTTAAAGAACCTATTACCTGCAAAGCATTGACCTGGTTGTGCAAAGAGAAATTCTGATACAGAAGTGACGAGAAAACCGTGATCAAAACCTGCATTTCACCCCAAAAAAAAAACAAGTCTCAGATTCAAAACCACAAATGTGTGTGTGCGTGTAGGAGTATACAGATACAGAACCGAGAACACACCGCGACAGTGACAGCCATCTTCCATCGAGCTCGAAACTCCAAGCCTTGACCGAGAAAACCTATCGCCTTCTTCGGAGCGGAAGCCCTCTCACCGGAATTTTCCGACTTCCGGACCGAAATGGCGTCGTCGCGGCGGTCAGTTCTGAGAGGCTGGTCGCTCCGGCGAGCGAATCCGACTCTCCGGCGAAGGCCTGCATGGTGGAAAGCTCTTTGCGGTGGCGACGGCTCCGGTACAGGGGAGAATCTGGGGGTTTCGGGGAATCGGCGGGGGTAATTTGAGATATTCTGGTGGTGGAGGAAGGGCGGTGAAGGGAAGTACCAGTCTCTGCTGGAGGAAGCCGAGGCTGTTCCCGCGTCGGAGTCAACGGACATAAGTGGTAATAATTTTATGGTTTCGGGGGTACTTTCGGTAAAGAAGAAATTTTATGTAATTAGAATTAGTTTTTTTTTTTTCCTGTAAGAACGAAAAATTTAGAACTAGCTTTTGATGATCGTACGTTTTGCAGGGGGTTTAAATGGCTAATGAAGCCGACTAGTTGTCAAGAGTTGGATTATTGTATAGGTATTGTCGTATTTAAAGAATAATTTTTTTTTTTTAGTGATAATGATATGACAATGTCAAAAAAAAGTGCAAATAATGAAAAAAATGGAAAACGACATGAAGAAAGCAAAGTGATTAACGACCTTAAAAAGGGGAAGGAGCGAGACCGGAAGACCACAAATTCCACAATAAAGCTAACAAACGACACCAAAATTAATGATTAATAACAACAATAAAAGAATAAAACGACTACGAAACCGGAGAGCAACAGTTAAATTGCAAGTGAAGTGAGTGACCAGTACGAAAAAAATAAAAACGGCAACAACCTTAATAACGCCAAGAGAAAAGTAAAACGACACAAGAAGATCGGAATGAAGCGGAAATACGACAGAAAGGTAGATTACAATTTACAAGTTAACAAGGAAACAAATGGAAAACGATATAATGAATGAGAACGACAACAAACTGAAGAGCGAGTCAGCGACATTCAACAATAAAAGAAAACCAGACTGAAAGGTCACGTTTAAAACTCATTTTAAAATGATTTTATTTTTTATATAAAAATAGAAATGAAAACGTTTTCAAAACGGCGTTTGGCGCAATAAAGACAAAAAATGGAAATGAAAATGATTTTTTAGTTTAGTGTAAAATAAGAGATAAATGAAAAATGACTAAAAGTCATTTTTCATTTATCTCTTATTTTACACTAAACTAAAAAATCATTTTCATTTCCATTTTTTGTCTTTATTGCGCCAAACGCCGTTTTGAAAACGTTTTCATTTTTTCTTTCTCAAAAAATGTAAAAAATAAAAATGAGATCAATTTTAAACACGACTGAAGTGTCGAACCACCTAGAATATGACAACGAAATGCAAATAAAAAACAATAAAATAGATAATGAAAATAATAATAATAATAATAATAATAATAAGAATGCTAGCAAGGACAAGAACAAAGTCGTAGATAGCAAATGCCAAAATTGAACGACAAGAAACCTATTTAAAGACGACGTCGTTTTCTTCTTTGGGTATTTATTTTTTGTTCTTTTTCAAACAAATCTTCTAGTTCTATCGAGCTCGGTTAAGCAGTGGAAGTTGTAGAAGAACCTCCGTCCCTCTAGGGTTTACCATAAAAAGGGCCCTCACTCTTACAGGTACTCTTTCTTCTCTCTCTTTCTGATGTTATTCGTCTGGAATAATGGATTCGGTATTTTGACTGGTTAAGTTGGAAACCAAAGATTTATTACTTTCCCTAATCATTTCTCGACCAACTAATTCAATTGATAAAATGTGTAATGGATTGGAACCTGTAAGCTTTTGGGGTGAAAATTGAAATCTGGGTGTTATGTATAGATTATGGTATTGCAAACTTTACTTGAATTAGATTGTTCGCGATATTTGTGGGTTTAAAATGAGAACAAAATAATATGGGTTTTTCGATTTTTGTAATTTTGTTAATAAAAGTTGGAAGTTTAATATAGATGGTAGTTTCTTTTCTTTTGAAGTTCTGGATTTGCAGAGCTTTTTCTGTTCTATTATCTGAGAACACATCCTTTGATACAATACAAGGATTTTATCATGTTGGCTCTTACTCATTTCTTTCTTCTTTTCCTTTCCCACTCTGTATTTCTGTTAGCTAGTGCCTGATTTCGTTGGAACTTGAAACCCTGTATGAATTCTTAAGGAAAAAATTATGTACCCTGCATTATCGAAAAACGTCAGATTTTCATCAAGTTAGATTAAATTTGTATATTTTTCTAGCTATAATATGATTCTAATGTCTGACGGTCCAAAACTGCGGTTGTACATGTACCTACCAAATAATTCTCTTTTCTTGAGATCATTTAGGATTGGCTACTTATTTGTACTCTTTGCTGTTGATTGTGGTATAAATTTTCATATTGCAATGACTAGGGAGAAAAATTAAGTGGTCTGTACTCAGAACATGTTATATACTGCTAACATTTTCGCATGCTTGATATAGTTTCCTTCTGCTATATACTAATAGAAGTTTTCATGTGAGAGCTCTTTTATTAGATGATTCTTTGCAAACTAAGATTCTTGAAAGCTTGAATTTTATTTGTTCATACAATCAATTGACTTGTATCGGCCGAAATTGTTGCCTTTATTGGGTTCTGTTTTTTCCAAGTCACTTAAGCATTGGTTTTATTTTTCCTTTTTGTATGGATTGGAATTCTTTTGTAACTAGATTCTGCTCTTCAAATACCAGGAGATCAAAGATGCAAGTTCTTCCTACAGAGGGTGAAAATGCTCTGTCTGTAGTTGGTCCTAGGCCAATGGAATGGGCAACTGTACCGTATAACGCTCCCCAAGCACCTGGGCAAAATGGAAAACAAAGGACTTCCAGTTTGGAATCGCCAATCATGTTGCTGACAGGTCATCAGAGTGCTATATACACAATGAAGTTTAATCCGGCTGGAACGGTGGTTGCGTCTGGGTCGCATGACAGAGAAATTTTCTTATGGTATGTGCATGGAGAATGTAAGAACTTCATGGTCTTAAAAGGGCACAAGAATGCAGTTTTGGATCTTCACTGGACTACTGATGGGTCCCAGATCATATCAGCCAGTCCGGACAAAACTCTCAGGGCATGGGATGTCGAAACGGGGAAACAAATTAAGAAGATGGCTGAGCATTCCTCATTTGTGAATTCATGCTGCCCATCCAGGAGGGGTCCTCCTCTAATAGTCAGCGGATCTGATGATGGGACTGCCAAACTATGGGATATGCGTCAAAGAGGTGCGATCCAAACATTTCCAGACAAATACCAAATTACAGCAGTAAGCTTCTCAGATGCATCCGATAAGATCTACACGGGTGGTATTGACAATGATGTCAAGGTCTGGGACTTGCGCAAGGGTGAAGTAATGATGACACTTCAAGGGCATCAAGATATGATAACTGGTATGTCGTTGAGCCCTGATGGCTCCTATCTTCTGACCAATGGAATGGACTGCAAGCTCTGCATTTGGGATATGCGGCCATATGCGCCGCAGAACCGCTGTGTGAAGATATTGGAAGGGCAGCAACACAACTTTGAAAAGAACCTGCTGAAATGTAGCTGGTCTCCTGATGGAAGCAAGGTTACTGCTGGTAGTTCCGACCGGATGGTATACATGTGGGATACTACTTCTCGACGCATCTTGTATAAACTCCCCGGGCACACTGGATCCGTGAACGAGAGCGTCTTCCACCCCAGTGAGCCAATCATTGGATCTTGCAGTAGTGACAAGCAGATTTATCTGGGAGAGATATGAGTTGTACTGAAACATAGTTGAATCTGCCGCTTCTCATCAATCTGTTAGCTGCATTAACAAAAGTGAGATATGAGAGGCTTGTATCGCGTCCTAGTTTCAAAAACAATTGCAACTAATCCAGCGTTTTGTACAAACATTTTGATGAGTTTTTCAATATGACCTTGAAGTATTGTTTAGATATGTAGAATTTGGAATTTGTAGAAGCTATACGGCCATTGCTTGGTGTCTGTTTGTCTTGTTTAATCCTTGTTTGATAGCGCTTTGGCTGACAAGGGAGAGTAAATGCATCAAAATCTGGTTTATTAGGTCTTTAACGCATCAGGTTGTCATATTTTACAACGATGCAATTAAAATCTTTCTTTGTCCCGCAGCTATCATTTCCAATCTAAACTTTTGACAAAAGTGTTCCTATGAATGTGCATTTGAATGTTAGCGAGTTAATTTATATTTGCATTCTGCAAGTGTTATGTGATTAAAAGATTCTTTTTCGATGAATTTTACTGCAAAGCATTATTTCAAATGATTAATTTCATAAACACCTCCGAAGTATATATATATATATATTTTAAATGCTCGTGATTTTTTAAAATAGGTCAAAACATTCTTTAATGTATAGAAAACAGTTTAAAATACTCCTGGCACGTCATTAAAGATTAACTAAAGATATTAATATCTAATTAATTTTGAAAAAATGATTAAATATAACTAAACAAATCAAACCAAAAAAAAAGAAAGAAAGAAAGAAAGAGAAATTGTAACCAAACAGATCCAAATCTATTTTTAGCTCTTCTACTACCATTCAGACAGAAAACAAATGAAATCAAATTATAAAACAACACAAATCAAGAAAAATAGAGAAAACCCCGAGCTTTGTTTCTTTCTCTGTGCAATCAAACGAATCCCACTTTCCATAACCATTTCTTTTTTAGCTCATGAGATCTTCAAAGCCATAAATAGACACATTCTCACCGAGCAAAACATAAGGAAAAAACTCAAGAAAAATGTATTTATTCCGTTCTTCTAATCAAATTCAACAAGACCAAAACACTACCAAGAATTAAGTAATACAAATAAATCAGACCAAAAACAAGAGGAAATAATCAATTCAAAAGCCGTATTGTTGAGACATGGGTTGGGGGAGGAGGGGACTCCCAGCTCTAGGCTGGGGGTAGGAAGGGGTGTGGGAAACTGCTTAAAGGGGTATGTGACGGAGATTTGGCTGAGAGAGGGGGATCTTCAAGGGCACCAACGATAAGTCTCTTGATCACTTCTCTGTGACGACGAGGCTCTGCGTTCACAGATGTGATGCTTTCCACTCAAGCCGTGTGCGGCGATGGTACTCGGAATCGGATCCGGAGTCAAAATCACTCAAAGAATTATTGTGTTTGAAATACTTCCTCTGCTTCTTAGCTGAAATTTCCCCGTTTTACCCAAATGTTACTTGAATTCCTTATAAGCTATTAGAAGGTATTTTGACCTATTTTAAAATTAGAATGTATTTTGACATATTTTAAAAAATTATGGAGCGTTTTAAAATAAAATACATACTTTAAAAGACATTTATAAAAGTAATCCTATTCCAAATGGTAGTAAATGTTTATAAACAACGTTGGAAAGGACAAAAATGTCCAAAAATAATTTTCAGGAAGTGACAAAAAAAAAAAAAAAGGGCAGAAAATCAATGCTAGCATTTCCGTTCTTCAACGTTTTGTTTCATTATTGGAAGGATCTGGATAACTTTATTTTCTACAAAATAGACAAGATGGAGCCTCAATTGTCTAAGAGAAGAAACGTGTTATACTTGTATCGAGTTAGCCAACATGGATGGTACATTGAATGTAGACGAATTTTCCAAAGAAATCTTAAGTAACGTTTTGGAAAGAAAAGTACGTTATTCCCACAAAATTGGTGGTCAGCTCTAGACGTGCCATGGATTTTGTGTCATTGTGTGCTTCTAGCCAAATCATTTTGGCATCATAAAAAGACTCAGCAGTGATTAAGGAGTAATTACTAAATTACACAAATTATGATTATATAGAGACAGACAGATAGATATAAATATAATTCTCAGTTTTATGTGAAACTATGTCTTTCGTAACATATTTTTAACCATAAATTATTGATAAATGACACGAACATTTTGTGTGTTTGGCTGAAACAACAATGTTTCTTTCTACCTTAAAAAAACAGTTTCTTTCCGTTGCACAAGCAAAATTAATAATGTAATAAATATTTATTTCAAAATATTCCAAAAAAATATTCCTTTAAAAAAAAAGAATGCATATATATATATATATGTCTGTGTGTATAAAGCAAACGTGGCAGCTATGATTAATTTTTTATTTTTAAATTTGATATAACGGCAGCTAGCTGTGATTATTTATTTATTTATTTTGCTGAAGGCTAGCTATGATTAATTAGATACATATGCCACTGAATGAATGGCCAAAATTAAATAAAAGAACTTTCAAAAAATAAAAGAAAAAAATTGAAAAATAAAAATATTCTCAACGCTTCACTGAAGTCAACTTTATCCGAGACTGTAAGCGTCAACACTGAACAGACGGCAGATCGTTATTAGCCAGTCAATTACAGGATCGACAAAAAGATCATGACAGCCAAAACTGAGTAAATATCTAACGAACTGGACAATTAGAACCGTACGGGTCGTTTCCACTATTTGGGAATTTTTCTGCGCTTTCCTTTCTTTCATTTCATTTGCAGAGAAGAAGAGAAAAGCGGGTTCTCTCCGACAAAATGGGTTCATCTTCTGTGACCAATCCGTTGACATCGTCTCTTGGAAGCACCAAATCCAAGCTCTGCTCAATCTCTTCTTCCTTGGTTCCGAACCAATGCTACTCTTTGAGTCTGAACTCTCTGTCTGTGGCTTCGGCGAAGAAGACGACTAGGTCTGCGAAGCTCAAGCTCGTCTCCGGTCGCTCCGTCGTCTGCAAAGCCGTTTCCACGGAGCCACAAACCGAGGTCGAAGGTCTCAACATTGCTGAAGATGTTACTCAGGTACGCTCATTCATCTCTTTCTCTGTTTTTGTCTTTTTGTAGGACTTATCGTGATTCTTCCTGTTGAATGTTGATTAACGTGTTTTTCAGCTCAGGAAATTGATTTAATTTACTGATAATTGTTGTTATTGTTCGGTTGTTTCTAGAAATTGCCATTAGTTTGGTAAAGATTTCGCCTTAAGTCTAGTCATTAGTATTTATTTACGTAAGCTCTTTTTTTTTTATTTAGAAATTATCTATGGGATGTGATAGGTTTTCCCCACAAATGTCTAATCTTTTGTTATTTCAAAATTAACTACTATGCTAAATTGTTAATATGTTTAAATAAAGAAGATTGTCCATTTTCTAGTTTCTGTTTCTAATTGATCGAAATAATAGAAAAAATTCCATTTTCATGAATATAATTCAGAGATTGGCTGCTTTCTTGGCCAAATCAAAAAAGAAAAAAAAATCAGATAAATATTAAGGGCACAAAATTTTGGTAATGCTATCATGGACATAGTCAACTCCCGCTTTGATGAGTTTCTCGGATGCTATAAGAAACTATTTTGGTTCTTACTTTGCAATTTGCATTTGGTTGTTAAGTTGGAAATTTAAATTCTTCTTATATATATATATATATATGTGTGTGTGTGTGTGTGTATATATATATATATATATATATATTTTTTTTTTTTTTTCTTTTCAAAATACATGATGCGCCTCATAGTTTCCAAACCAGTAAATTGCTGCTTGATGAACAAGCCTATGATAATCTTGATCTGTACACAGGAGTGGACTAATCTATTTTCTATTTCACCCTGAAAAATTCTGAAATTGAAAAGTAAAATGTAAAGTCTTGTGAATAATAGGTGTAAGTATGAGAGCTTCTTGTTTCTACAGAACTCTATTCATTTTGCCCACTGGATTATGAATTCTCTTTGTTGTTGATTCATCTCCATTGGTTGCTTTTGATGCTGCAGCTTATCGGGAAAACTCCGATGGTTTACCTGAATAATATAGTAAAGGGATCCGTGGCAAACATTGCTGCCAAGCTTGAGATTATGGAGCCATGTTGCAGCGTTAAGGACAGGTGAGGAAGCATCATATGCCAATGTTGGGGATGAGATATAAGAACTTCTATAGTCCAGAAAAATTCAATTTCTTGTATAATTTTCAAATGTATCCTGGTCTACGCTCAGTACAGAGTTGTTCACAATCACAGGTCACTTTTATCATCTAGACATAAAAAGTTGTAAATGATGTTTCTATAAAATTAACATATTCTTTTTTATGTTGTCTACAGGATAGGGCTTAGTATGATAAATGATGCTGAGCAAAAAGGACTTATAACACCTGGAAAGGTAACAAGTGGGGTTATAGCTGTCTGCTCGTGTATGGAAAATGAGAAATGTGTGATATGCTCTTGAATTAGACCGATAAAACTATCAAGTATCTTGCATTTGGCCACTTCAAAACGAAATTGAAAGTTTTATGCAGCCTAGTGCTAAACAGTTCCCTTAACCAATTGTGTGATGTTTTCCCGCAAGAGCCTTTAGAATAGTTAGAATTGCTTAAAAGTGAATCTTTTCAGATGATTTTAGTATTAGTCGAGTGGAGACTCGATTCTGTTGTTTTTCCCATCCACTTTTATTGTTTTACCCCTCTATAAATAGATTAAAAAAAAAAGAATGGTGACCGAAGAAAATCACTGAATTATTTATCAGCTTTGGTTCTTGTGAATATTGCTTTGGCTAGCTTTCTGATTTGTTCTAACATAATTTCTTCATTTCATTCTCTTTTAGAGCGTTCTTGTGGAACCCACAAGTGGAAACACTGGCATTGGTCTCGCTTTTATTGCTGCCTCAAAAGGATATAAGCTCATACTAACAATGCCTGCTTCAATGAGTCTGGAAAGAAGAGTTCTTCTAAAAGCATTTGGCGCTGACCTTGTTTTGACTGATTCAGCCAAGGGCATGAAAGGAGCAGTTCAGAAAGCTGAAGAAATATTGAATAGCACACCCAATGCCTATATGCTTCAACAATTTGACAATCCTGCGAATCCCAAGGTTTGTGCTCCCTTCAGTTGGTTTATTTGTGCTACACAGTCACAATGACAGAACAATTGGCTCAAGTCTCCTCTAACAATATTGTACATGTCCTGTTTTATGATTTTAGATTGCTTCTCAAATTTTCATTCTACAGCAGGAAGAACAACATACACTTAGATCAATACGCCAATGACGATTTAAATTTATTTGCTATGTTGTCTGTAGTTTTATAACGAATTGGAAAGAAACTGACTAAAGTACTTTGCTAGAGAGATTTAAGAACAACATAAAGTGTAAATATAAACTTGATCTTTGGAAAGAGATAGAAACTAGTTCAAACGTAATCAGCATATTTTTTATTAGATCCTTTCCAGACAGCTTACCTGTTAACCTCTTCTATGAAATCTCTTCTTCAAGTTCTAACATTCCAGAAAATGGTTAGATTATTATCTTCCAATGAGGTTTACGAAAAAAAGTAAGATCTTCTTTTTAGTTGCGTGGTGCAACATTTTGATTTCTAATTTCCAATGTGTTTGTTTTATGTGCATTCATTATGCAGATACACTATGAGACAACTGGTCCAGAGATCTGGGAAGATACAAGAGGGAAGGTGGATATATTTATTGGAGGAATTGGAACTGGAGGAACCATTTCTGGGGCTGGTCGGTTCCTCAAAGAGCAAAACCCTAACATAAAGGTAAGTTTCTCTCTTTAACTATTGCAAAACCACTTCTGGATTGTTTCCATTTTCATGGGCGTACCAACAAGCTGTACATCGTGAACTTGATAGCCTTATAAGTTCCTTTGTCTAGGATGAAATCCGCTTTAGATACTACTGGCGCATACTAATTTCCTTGCTGGGTGGCAAAGAATTTAGAAAGGAACAATTCATCATTTTATTTTTCATTTCTATTTTTGGGCATCCATTTGACACACTCTGTTTCAGGTTATTGGTATAGAACCTACAGAGAGTAACATATTATCAGGTGGAAAGCCTGGTAAGTCATAGCGGTAACCTTCTAGCAATTCAGTTTAAACACAAGCTTGCATCGTTGTTTTAAAGTTTTAATCATTTGCTTTTCTCGACTTTTTATTAATATGCAGGTCCTCACAAGATTCAAGGGATTGGAGCTGGATTTATACCAAGGAATTTAGACCAAGATATTGTTGATGAAGTCATCGAGGTCTAATGTTTTGCTTTTCTTTTTTCAAATATACATCACTTTCTTTTATTTGTTAGTTTTGTTTCTTTCTTTTTCATATTCTTCAACCAAAGTTTCAAATCCCCTGTATCATGGCTAATTTAACCAAGGTAGTGTGACGACGCCAACTACTTTGTTGGCTTCCCTAGGATGTATCATAATCATTTTCTGATTAATTATGTCTATTATTCTATACGACGTACCAGTTCTCACAGATTCTGAATTTGGCAATTGGCAGATATCCAGTGAGGAAGCTGTTGAAACTGCGAAGCAATTGGCACTACAGGAAGGCTTGTTGGTTTGTCCCTTTCGTATTTCATTGTTTTTGTTAACTCTCCATTCAATTAAAGGCAAAATTTGGAATCGGAATTACATATCTGCTGTTCATACTGTGAAATTTGAAGTTACAAAGCATTGTTGTACATTATGACTACGTTGAAGGAACTGAAGTGAAAACAAAAGTATTATGCTTCATTTGCTCAGAAATAACATCTTAATCACGAGAGAAAAAAAAAAAGGACCTATGAGAAAGACTGGTAAATAGGAAACACCCGTCCCAGCTTGGAATACTGGAAAGGTCCTTAACCCAGCTGGAAAGCCATTAGCTCTGCTTTCTTCCTTGAAATCTATTAACCCTGTTAACCGTCCCACATTATTCTTCTTTTCTTTATTAATTTCAGCGATAGTAGGGAAACTGAAGTGAAAACAATCTCCAAGTATTATGCTTTATTTACTCAGAGATGACATTTTAGTAAGGAAAGAGGGGGGAAAAAAAGCGGTACCACTGAGAAAGACAAGTAGCCATCCCCAGCTTGGATTGTTGAAAGGCCTTTAAACCAGCTTAAAGTATTGGAGGGCTTTAAGTATATTTCTTACTAGAATGTTCAAATGTACTCTTTTCTTTATTAATTTTAGCTGCTTGATTCTGCCCCTTGTCAAGAAATTATGTCTGTGCTTCTCTGGTGTTGTGTGTTTATATTTTGATGTTCTCTAATGGTTACACTTCAATCAATATCAGGTTGGAATATCTTCTGGGGCAGCAGCTGCCGCTGCAATCAAGGTTGGAAAGAGACCAGAGAATGCTGGGAAGCTTATCGCGGTATGTCATTTTCATCTATGCCATCCAAATCGATCATGAGGGATTTACACTTTGCTTTTTAGCTCATGATTGGAAAAGCAAAAAATAGAGGAAATTGACGTTTTTGAGGGTAGATAACGTTTCACTTAGAGTTGTCAAACGTGCCGTGCCGGACCGGCACGACACGTCCGACCCTAGGCCTGTGGCGAGCCTAGGCCGTGCCTGGCACGGCATGAGGAGAAAATCTTAAGCCTGCTACCCTAGTCTATAAGGGCCAGGATCGGGCCTGGGCCCAGGCCCTTCACGGGCTGGTCTTGGCCCTTGTAAATTTTTTTTTCTAAAATTTAATTAAAAAAAAAAGAAAATATATCATATGTCCCTATGATATGTGATTTTATTGAATTGAGATAATACGAATAAGTACACATAAATGACTGCTTCGTTAAAAATCTTGCCAAGTAAAACCTGTGGGAACCTTAGTGAAGGAAAAAAGAGTGCAGTATTCTAGGAATAGTAAATTACAAAACCTAAGTGCTTCTAGAAGATTCTGTTATTTCTAAGTTAGAAAAATAATATTGCATTGGATCATCCGTGTATTGTTATTTTCGTCTTCTAGCATCTTCCCAGTCTTTAATGCATATTAGCCCCTCCAAGATATTTGGATGCATTATGATTCTCTTCTCGTCAAGAATTCGGTTGCTTGCACTAAATGCTTGCTCCGATGCTACCGTTGACACTGGAGTTGTCAGAATGTCACGAGCTATTACGGACAGTGTTGGAAAACGATCGGTCTTGCTCTTCCACCACTGTAAGATGTCCAGTTTGTCGTCATCGATTACAAAATTTGCTTCAAAATATTTTACCAGTTCGGTAGATGTTTGTGTTGATAACGATCCAGCCGTTTTCTCTTTCTTCTTCAAGAAACTCCACGACGAGCCTTTAGGCCCCGAACTACTAGTTGACGTCGAAGTTCCATGTTCTTTTCGATCTGTGCTGTATTTTGCTTCATACAAACTAAATACATTTTCTAACATTTTCCTAGCGTCAGTAATAGTTAGTTGCATATCAATACCTAAATTTTCTGATGTAACAGTCATCAAAGATTCAGTCTCATTTACTCCGCACCTAGGATCTAAAATGGTTGTTAATGCATATAACATAGGACAACCTGATCAATAACTTTTAAATTTAGTTTCCATTACCTTAACTATGTTTTCAAAAAGTATTGTATCCCTATAATAAGAAAATGTTTCTGAAATATTAAATAATTGATGTGAAATTAAATGTGTAGTAGGATAATAAACTCTAGAAAGTAATTTAAAAGCATTGTAAAAAACTTCTAGAAATTTAAAAAAATATTGACCAATCTGACAATCTATATCGAAAATTAAAAGTTGATCGTTCTTATTGTTTACATATGTTGTGATGAGCTGTGAATACTGGAGTACAGCCTTCAACATTAAATAAGTGGAATTCCACCTATGTCTCACGTCAGTTGAGAACTTTCTTGGGCGCATCTGACTGTTCCTGCAATATTGTTTGAATTATTGGAGCCTTCAACATTATAGGGGATTTTTGGGGTTTTTTTCGGATTGTGACCGTTGGGCCCGCGAAGGGCCCAACGGTCACAATCAGAAAGGGCTGGAGGGCTTTTTCGCGGGTCTGGGCCGGGCTGAACAAGGGCTGAATCCGGGCTTGGGCCAAATTGGGCTTGGGCCGGGCCGCGGGCCTTCACGGGCTTGAGCCGCGGGCTGAGAAGCCGAAGCCCAGCCCTAGCCCATCAAACGTGCCGGGCCGACACAGCGTGTAACAGTATTGTACCAGGTCGTACCGAATCCGGCACTGTTACGGACTGAGTCAGGCCGTCCATAGACGGCCTGGCCCATTTGACACCACTAGTTTCACTGGCAGGAGATATATATCACTTCTTCCAGCTCTAGGCTCAATGAATGCAATAATTTTCTCAAAGTAAAAAGTAAAAACTGATCGTGGCCACCACGTGAACAAATTCTTATTTTTATAGGAAAAACATGTGCACTAACCAGTTATCAAAAGGACATGTGAACAAAGCCACCAACCAAAAGCTGACCCGTGAGAGAGACCGGCTAAGGTGAAACGGACCTGCTTCTTTAATGTTTCCTCGGCCTTTGCCTTTTTCTTTCCTTTTTTGGTTGGTTGGAATGACACCATTGGAACATACTTGCTAACGTAGCTTCTGCCTTATTGTCCTCCGCTTAGTACAGGAAACAGTAGTTTTTTTGTTCCTAAGATAACCCCCTCCAGGAAATTGTGTTGCACCATATATATGGTGAGAGGGATGGAAAAAGAGGAAAGAAATTGTTTTTTACTAGTGTATTTTAAGATTAATTTCATAATTGCTTCCTAACTATGTAACCTACTTCAACATGCCACTCAAATTTTAAAAGAGAGTTCGTTTCTCCCTGAAGTATGTAAAGTGGTTCAGAACACTCCCTAAATTAATATAAGTTCATAAATGCCCCCTAAACTTTTATTTTTTGTCAACTTGCTCTTATTCTTAAAATTTTGGGGGCAAGTTGACACAAAATCCATAATTTATAGGTCAGGTTACTAAAAATCAATAATTCAGTGGGCATTTATAAAATTAAAAGTAGTGTCACATCATCATTTTGAATTAGGGTACATAGTTTGGGGGGTCCAATGAACCTTTTTCAAACTTCAAGGAGGATGTTGAACTAGGGTACATAGTTTAAGGGCATTTATAATGTTAATCCTATGTTTTCTTGGAGCAAAATTTACTGTTATATCCTTGTACATAATGATTGAATGAGGTAATTGATGGAAACATAGGCCGTTTGGTAGTATTTTTCGAAATGGTTTTGTTTTGAGTATGAAAATGGAAATGAGTCATTTCATACGGTCATACCTCATGAGCTGTGTGTAACCTTTTATCTTCTTTTCTTTCAAAAGTTAGAACGGAAAAAAATGGTGGCAACTAATACCCCCATGGATTTTCATTTCTTTCCTTCCCAATTTCCTCCCTACAACAATTCAATAGTCTTTTCTTATCCCAAATCCTTCCACTAAACCATTTTTAGACATTTTTTCCCTCCTTGTTGACTGATCAGTAACGTGTTACATGCAAAGCATGCAGCAACTAAAGAATTAATTTCCAAACTTCCCTTCATGTCAATTCATCTGAGAATTTCAATGGCTTGCAGGTGGTCTTTCCAAGCTTTGGTGAACGATATCTCTCTTCGGTTCTCTTTCAGTCGATTCGAGAAGAATGCGAGAAGATGCAACCAGAGCCATGAAAACACAAAAAAGAATGCCCTTAATGATTCTATAACATGAAACATGTTAAAATTTTCTTTCCTGTGCATTTTCTTAGGTTCTGTTTTTCCTCCAGAGGACCTTGGGCAATTTGTTTCTTCATGATTTTCTCTAGAAAATCCCAGTCACTGGAGTTGCGATGGGACTTTCGTTCTTGATTTTGGACAATGAGCTGTCGAGAAAATTCGTCTTCAAAATTGACTGGAAGGGAATAAAACCAAAATCTAAGACCAATTTTATTCCATTTTCACAGCCACGGATTTCTTCCAGTTGGTAATGTATTGGCATTTGACGATTTCAATAATCAAAATACCCAGCCACCTAAATCCCAATTTGACTAGTCTTTCCTTCATTTCCTAATTTTTTTGGTCAATCACTGTTTCGAATTTTGGTTTTGAATTCTACATATGCATATTTCCTAAAGAAGTCCGTGTGAAAATGTAGTCTTTTCCTCCTCCTAACCAGGAATAAATTCCTTTCGGATTGGATACATATTAAAGTCTGCACGTTCCATCCATGGAAGGAAAAAAAAAATGGAATTCTGCACTTTAATATAGCAGAATATTTATAAATATGCACATGCTACTTCTATTTTATAAAGACGCACATGCTACTTCTATTTTACCCAACTTAAATACCAATTATACTACTTTTTATTCCAAAACAACAGCAATTATTTTTTTCCTAAATGTAACACGTCTAGTAATCAACCAAGATCAACGAGATTATTTCTTCCTCAGCCAGAAAAAAACAGAACACAAGTGAAAAGAGGGATGAAAGAAGTTAGCTTTTTAGATTCTTTGAAAGGAGACAGAAAAATTCATTATTCATAAAAAATTCTCTCCTCTTGATTTACAACGTTAAAGAAATGCTTTTGTGACGGCTATGGGTCAGCATTTACCTAAACCTAATCACGCGGCCAATTAATAATTATTCAAATATTCTCCCCCAAATTTCAATAGACGTTTGACAAAGTGGCAAAAAAGCAAGATTGAGGTCCCCCATCCTAGAAACTCAGAAAGCGACAGATTATATAAATGACTAGCTAGGCTATGGAATAGTGGCTCGTGTTCTAATCTAAACTTTGAGTTGTTCTTTAGGTCCGTTCATTTCACCGATTTGAATTTATAATTTAAATTTTATTACAGTAAAAATTTTTTAAAAATAGTTATATTTAATTTTTTTATTACAGTAAGAAGTTCTCACATATGTTCTTTAGGTCCGTTCATTTCACCGATTTGAATTTATAATTTAAATTTTATTACAGTAAAAAATTCTTAAAAATAGTTATATTTAATTTTTTTATTACAGTAAGAAGTTCTCACATAAAGTTACATTTCAACTCAAATTAAAAACTCGAATCAGTAAATTACACTGCCCTTAATTTATAATAAGTTTATGTTTGTGTTTAATATATAACAATAACATAGTGATCGTGTAGCTTTTTAAGCATGACAGACCACCACTTCACTGTATGGATTCCAAGCATGCAAAAGATTATATTATTGCAAAAATAAAAATACATAGCTTTAACTTTATATCCTAAAACAGCTTTTTTTTTTTTTTCGTTCTAGTTTAGTGCCATTTGCTCAGACTTAATTACTAAAATGGTGCCTTTTTCTTTTCACTACACAAGTCAAGCTTCACCCTTTTATTGTCCTAAATGCTAGGGAATGTGTGTGTGATGATCAGTTAGAAAGTTTTTACTCTATAGTAATTAGTACATGTGGTCAAGAAAATCTGCCGATATTAATTTTCATTTTCCAATTACTAATTCAGTGAAAATAAAAACTAATAATTTGATCTCAAACCAAACTTCTATACGATGCCAAGAGTAAGTTTATCATTTAAACCAGCACATTTATTTTCCCCAAATAAAAGAAAAAATCAGCACATATAGATACACACACACACACACACACACACACACACACACATATATATATATATACATATATATAGAACAGTAATTTGCATAATCTGTTCACCACATAGCAGACCAAATTAGGCGGCTAAAAAACGACACACACATCATATATATATGGTTAGAGACTATACATCATCTTGTGTGATGCAGATGTAATAAAAAACTAATTTGAATGGTTGAAAAGTAGAAACCAAATAAAATAAAATAAAAAGTACTTAAAAATAAACTATTGGTCACATATTATCGAAATAAAAGAAAATAATTTAATTGCAGAGGGGGTTGGCCAGCAGGCCTACCTTCTACTGAGGCTCCTCAGCTCCTTTATACTTTTTTCAAAAGAAGAAAAAAAACATTTCCCCCATTCTATTATGGGTTAATTGGAGACAAAGCGGGAGCTACTTTTACTTATTATGATCCATCTTCACACTTGCCTTAATTCTATTAAAGCCTTTATCAAAAAAAAAAAAAAAATTATATATATATATATAGGAATAAAGTAAAGCCTAATATTGTACTTGTTTAGTTGTATGAACACACACAAACTGGTCCTAAATATATAAGATGTTGATAGGCAATAAAATATTGCCCTGTCCTTTCCCATCCTTATATAAATTGCACCGTTTTCTTCTCTTAATCAAAAGTCCAAACAATAATGGATCAATATTCCAAAGAGCCGTATGATCACCTCTCTTTGCCTTCTTCAGATCCATTCCAATCCCCCACCAGGTATAAACTACTACTTCATCTAACTAATTTCTCTCTCCCACTCATACAAATTTTCAATTACATCTATATTTTCTGTGCATTAATTGACCATACTAGAACTATATTTATAATTATCATATGCTCAATTTTTAATGGTACACGTATACATGAAGATGGTGGTCCAAGGAGACGGTGGCCATAGTGACCGGAGCGAACAAGGGCATCGGTTTCGCGCTCGTGAAGCGGCTGGCGGAGATTGGACTAACCCTAATACTCACTGCCAGAGACTTGGAGAGAGGATCAAAGGCCGTTGAATCACTCAAAAGACAAGGACTCTTTGTTCACTTCTTTCGCTTGGATGTTTCTGACCCTGCTTCTATCCAAGCGTTTGTCTCCTGGTTCTCACAAAACTTCCCGGCCTTGGACATTCTTGTAAGTCTCTATAATATCATCTTTACTTGTTATGTATATTTATTATGACTCTGTGTCTCAAGATTTTTTAGCTCCTTGTTCAAAATGGTTTTTTTTTTTTTTTTTTTTTAAATTGTATATAGTAGTATTATATATGTGTACGATAAATTCAAGACCACACGATATTTTAACTGCTGTTTGTGCAACATTTTGACCGGTTCCGGTTTTTGCTGGTTTTAATGAAAATATATTGTTCATTTTAGTAGATAATATACACATACACATATACATACATCATATGTATATGTATGTATGTATATGCATGCACTGGCGTGTAAAGGTACGTAACTTGCGTTTAATATTTACATATATGTAGCTATATACATATATATAATACAAGTATTTTTCTCTTTTCCCCCCTTTTTCGGACAGCGCTATCGCTTTTTCTTTGCATTCCTTTGTTTGTCGTATGCCTTTGACCTGCTCTATCAACATCTATACATGTTCATGTATATGGTTTCTTTTTTTTTTTTTTTTTCTCTTTTGAGGAAAATAAAAGTACATATGAAAATGATTGTAGAAATTGTTTTACTTTTTAATACTGATTGGAAGCTAATTAACATAGGGGTCGGACTTGAATTTCATTATTATTAATTATTCTGGATTATCATATAACTATTAAGTTCTACTAAAGTTGATTTTTTATTCTTAACTCTAATATGAATTTCGATCATGTGAATTTAAAACTAAACAGATATTAGGATATACCTTAGCCCCTTTTTTCCCTTATTTAATTTACATATATATACGCAACTCATATATAATGTTAGAAAATGAACCCGCCATGCACGAGTGTGTTTTAAAAATTAAGAATAATATTTATGATCATAAGAAGTCATTTGGAAGCTAGGGCAATTTGACGTCAAAGTATTTTTATGCAGATTTCCCATTTATTGACTCGATAATTAGAACTAATAGACATAACTATATAAATTAGTGCGTTTTTCTCGCTACATCATGAGCTGGAGTTGTTGGAATACTCAAAATTATTAATTGCATGCTTAATTAGTACGTATGTGAAGTTCATATATGTATTTTATATATATAGTAGTTGTCGCAGTTATCTTCTAGAGAATATATATATTATCATTACATTTAAAAAGTAAGCCATATTAAATACTATCGTTTAAAAAATCTCGAGTAATTATTATTGATTAATGAAAAATTAATTAAATTTTAATTGTTAATGGTGTTAATATATATATATATATATATATACATACATACACACACACATACTATTGCAGATAAACAATGCTGGTATATCATACAACGAAATTGGAGAGAACTCAGTAAAGCAGGCAGAGAGAGTGATGAAAACAAATTTCTTTGGAGCTAAGTTACTCACACAATCACTCTTGCCCTTCTTCCGTCGTTCTTCTTCCTCAAGTCGTTTACTTAACATTACCTCTAGACTTGGCTCTCTAGATGTAAGTTCTTTATCAACTCTATTACATATAACTTAAAACATAATCAATAGATCAATTTTAATTAAAACAGAGTTTATTGTTACCTCGGATCATCTTAAAATTGCTTGTACTTTTTAAAAGTGACATTTCATTTATAACTTGAACACATGCAATTGGGAGTCGGGAATTTTTCACGTGTGTCCGTAAATTTCATGATTTATGCCAAAAAAAAAAAAACATATTATATATATAAAAAGAGATTAATTAAGTTTGCTTTTAAGTTCATGTCATGAATTGTATTACAAATTTTAAACCATTGTACATTAATACTCTTGATCGTATATTTAACATGACATTATATATAAAAAATACATATGTGTGTGTCATAATGCTAAATGCTAACAAATTAATGTTTGGACAAATTACGATGGTGCTGTGATTATAGAAGATGAGAAACCCTAGCATAAAAGCAATTTTGGCGAGCAAGGATCTGTCCGAGGAGCAGATCGAGGGTGTGGTTAACTCATTTCTCAATGACGTGAAGAACGGAGTGTGGGAGAGCCGAGGGTGGCCAGAAATGTGGACAGACTACGCGGTATCAAAATTGGCGCTAAGTGCGTACAGTAGGGTTTTGGCAAAGCGGTACGCTGGATTAGGGTTGAGTGTCAACTGCTACTGCCCCGGCTTCACTCAAACAGCCATGACTCACGGCAAGGGCACGCACACTGCGGATGATGCCGCCGAGACCGGGGCTAGGCTGGCCTTGCTTCCGCCTCACCAACTGCCTAGTGGCAAATTCTTTGTATGGGCCAACAATAACACTGCTACTTTTCTTGACTCTAAACTGTAGTAATTAAAAGTGCTTATTAATGTTTTGTAATTCATTAATAAATCTATTGATCGACCGACTCCTTTCAGTTGGGCACATGTGATCATCAGGCTCCATTTCCAAAAACAAAGAATATTGAGTAAATATATATACACACACACAATGAATATTGTATATATATGCACCGACACTATTTATATGATTACTCTGAAACTTGACCAATACTTGAACAACAACAACAATAATAATAATAATAACAATAATACAAATAATAATAATATAATAATAATAATGATAACAATGAAAATAAAGAAAAAATGGTCAAAGAGAATATATCCTGGCCACCAATAATTAATTAGGAATTAATTTTAAAAATTTCCCATGAACTATGACTCTTGTAACACTTTATTTTCTAAATTTTAAAATGTAACATCTGCTTCTCCTGAATTTTATTCCGTTAACAAGTTTTTTCCTTCTGTTACAATGAGTGACAGAAATTACACGTGTCACTTATTTATAGAGCATTAAAAGTGCAATTACGCTTATACCCTTTGAAAATATAAAAAATAATAAGAAAAAACAAAGAAAATCCTCTCCCCCCATCATCTCTCTCTCTCTGACTTTCTTTCTTTCTAATTTCTATTTTCTCCACTTTCTAATTTCTAACACGAGGCTCCTTCTTCTTCTTCTCCTCTTCTCCATCCGGCGAGCCCAACTATCATCGTCTCACCGATCCATTGCAAACCCCCACCCCCCCACCCATCTCTCTCTCTCTCTGACTTTCTTTCTTTCTAATTTCTATTTTTTCCACTTTCTAATTTCTAACACGAGGCTCCTTCTTTTTCTCCTCTTCTCCATCCGGCGAGCCCAGCTGTCATCACCTCACCGATCCATTGCACCTCATCCCTCTTCAGCCTCGGCGACTCAAATCCATCGTGCACCGTGACCCACCTGTTGGGAATGGTGTCCTAGAAGCATGAAATGTAATAGGATATTTATTATTTATTTAATAAAGGAGTTTATTCATTATTTTATGTGCATATATTTATGAATATTTTATGAATATCAATAAAAATTCCATGATTATTTATGTAACCTTAAACATTGTATATAAGTGTTATATATGAGAGGATAATGTTTAAGGATAATAATCAAAAAGCAATGTTCATAATGAATTTAATTAAAGTTTGGAATCTTTAATTAAAACATTATTAATACATGTCATTCCCATTTAGAATGGAACGGTGTTATCCGCACTGTTAATATGGCGAGATATTGAATGAGTGTATTTCGCATAATGAGATTATGTGGAACAAGGACACAGACACGATATGAATTTCTAATAATTCCGTTAAGTATAGAAATTCTAATTGAGTCTACCGATGGTCATATATAGAATGATCTTAATCCTGAGTTCTTAACAAACTCCTATTTATGGATTTGTGTCTTTTGATTTACTCGGTACGGATTCTGAGATCCTGAATCTTATTCCTTGTATTTTGGAGACATGATGAAGTAGGTAGCCGGGAATGTTATTACATGAGATGGAATCCATTCCTTCTTAAGAAAGAAGTAGATAAATAATTCTCTTGAGGGTTGATTCGGTACTTGGATCAGTAGGAGCTCCGATTCATGAATGTGTTTTATGAATCACTGTCCATTAGAGAATCAATGGTACTCAAGGATAAAGAAGTAATTAGA